AATATCCAAACTTTCACAGCAAAAACAATATGAAAGTTATCTGCACAGTATTTTATTGTGAAGTTTCAAGTGTAAAAAGACAATCTCATGAGTCTTACAAAAATAATTCAATCTCACATAATCTCAAGTGTCTCTCTATATAAACAATTAGGCATCAATCTCTCGTAATTAGGAATGAAACTCTGACTTAATAAACAATGTTTTTATAATATAATTAAAAACAAGTCGTTAATAAAATACATGTTAATTTATAAAAAATTAAACTCATTATTAATTATATATATACACTAGATTTGGATTTGTGTTACCAAGATTTGGATTTATATGTCTTAATTAGTTAATAATTTAAAAATAATAATTAATAATTTAATTAAAATTAATTATCAAAATTTTATTATTTGCGAAATAGAAGAAATATAACCGGTTACCATGCTAATGTGGTATCCAACTCTGTATTATTTTATGTATTGTGGTTTATAGAATACATAATTAGTGTTTCAACCGGTTACCCAAATATTTAAATGTTTAAAATTTTACATATTCGATGTTAAAATAGAAATTTTAAAAGTAAATTACTCATAATAAAAATGAAGTTAAAATACATTACTTTTTAATACAATTTACAATTAAAAGTAATACTCAACTTTCATACTTAAAATTCAACAAGCATTGTAATATAAAAAATAATTAAAAAAAGAGTTTGATTAGTCATAGAGTGCGACAAATACTTGTAAATGGTTTTCTATGCATAAAAGAGTTGTACTCTTCTAGAATTGTGCATGAGCATTTGTACGAAGGGGTAATTGCCAGGAAAAAGGAAAAATATGATAGGGTCAAAATCGACCAATAAAAGTATGGCCTAACCAAGACCATCTAGATTGGTCAAAAGGATGACTATTTTGAGAGGCACATAATATTACTGTGTGGTGGCTCCTACCTGATTTTGACTTCCTCCAACATCAAACAACATCAAGAAAACGGTAATACGTTTCTTCCACGAGCGTCTTGGTCACAGAGTCGGTTGAAAACGCAGGCTTTTAAATTTTGGAAAATTTGTATAAATAGTTAAAGTTGATAGATGGTTTTATTTTTTAAGGACTGTTTGGTAGTTAATGGATGATTTGATGTTGAATGAGTAAGTGGTTTGAATGATTAAGAGGCTCTCATAATATAGTACAGAATGAAATGTAATTGTTTGATAAATGTTAACGATGAAATTAGGCCGTTGAATAATTAAGGGAGATCCAAAATACAAAATCATTCATAGGGTTTTAAAATAATTAAGAGACAAAAAAAAAAACCAAACAAAATTTACCTCTTAGCGATTCAGAGACTGTTTGTTAAAGGAAATATGAAGAGGTAAACAACCCCTTAGTTATTTATTAATTCATATTTACTTTTTAGTCCATTTTTACATAGAAAGCTTAGACACATGTATAACGATTTTTTTTTGCGAAGAATCGATTCGTATGTATATACGTAAACCTTTTACGTAATGGTTGACTAAAAAATGAATTTATGTCGGAAAATGGCTAAAAAGTGAAACCATGTCTGTTGATTGGTTATTTCTGTTAATTTCACCAAAAGTTTTAGTTCAATTTATTGATATTTTACAGGGTGTTTAGAGATATTAAACAATAATTAATAATTAAAAAATTATTGGTTTATATGATACAATGGGCTTATTGCCTCATTCCACCATAAACCTAAATTTCATTATAGGTTAAACTACGGGAAATGAAATCCATTATCATTTTTAGAGGTGTACAAAAAATCAACCGATTCATTTGGAACCGATTAATCCAATTAGAATCGACCATTGGATCGGATTGAAAATTTCAACATTCAATTTAGATCCGTCGATTCTCGGATGACAGTCCAGAACTGATTAATATCCAATTACTCATCTGATTAATCATCAAATGACCATTTAGTTGTCCATACAACCATTATCCAATTAAATTATTTTCAAATTGCTTATTCATGGTAACCGGTTAATGTTTCAATTGGTTATCCGAGTATTTAAATGTTTAAGACTTTACATCTTAGGTACCAAAATAAAAGTTTTAAAAATACATTATTTAAAATAGAAATAAAGTTAAAGTACGTTACTGTTTCATGTAATATGTCTTACGTTTTAATGATTTTTATTAGATTTTGAATGGCATAGAGGTCTTTTAGGTGTAATTATTTATGTATTTATGATTTACAATAAATGGTACATTTTTTATGAGATTTTATTATAGATAGATCAGCAAAATCACATGCATTTCAATTTCAAAATGATTGCCTCTAATTTACACCTAATAAATAATGTCAACAATGTACTTCTCATATCTTATAATAATACATGAATACAGCCAAGTTTACGTTACTACACTTTGAATATTCCAATTTATATATTTTATTATGTTGAATAATAAAAATCAAAGTGAAAATTATCCATATTATATTATAAAACATTTGATATAAACTCTTAAAAACCATCTTTTTATGTATAAAAAACTGTTTATTGATGCATATTACTTAAAATTTAAGATTATAAGTAAAATGTGCATAGGAACAATTTATTAAAACTCTAAATTTGAATTTGTATGACCAACTGTTTATAATATTTTTAAATTTATATTTCATTCAAAAATAAAAACATTATCAATTTTTCAAAACTACATAAAACTGTATTATAACATCGACAAAGACAAATAACAAAACAAAATATTAAAATCAAGATATATCTCGCTGCATTGCGCGAATACCCTTCCAATATTATATAATACCAAACATTTTTTTATTTATTTTAGTTGTCGTTGATTATCATTTAACACCTCTAACCAAACACACCCTAAGATTCGGTCGGTTTGCATGATTGGATTGGATTGGATTTTAGGGTTTTATGAATTGAATTCGATATGGAGGAATGCTCGTACGACATATGTGCGTGTAGTGTGGAGGGGAATGGTAGATGAACACCAACCGGCTTGTGTAACCAATCACTTATCGAAATAATGCTTAACTTAGATTGCAACAAACCTGACCATATTTAGATATACATAAAAAAGTCAAGGTCGGACTCGACACGGAAAAGCCGAATCCCTCGTTCAAGCCCGAGCTTAAATTCCCATCAAACCAACTTTTTCTTTCAAGGCCAAGTAAAAGTTCGTCTAGAAAAAACCCTGAAAAAGTATAGTTAATATTCGATAAGATTGAAAAATAGACCTAAAAAGACTCGGTAGGGGCCTATTTCAACGGCAATGCCCGACTATGGCCTCAAATAGTCCGGGTCTTTTTTGATTGTCGTAAAACAAAAGCCCAGGTCTTATACATCTATAAGACATATAATTTTCGTAAAAAAACATAAAATAATATGGTTTTAAATACTATTTTCAATTAATATTTAATAGTTATAAAAAAATGATTTAATCTAACAAGCAAAATTGTATACACTAAAGCAGTCTTCTAGATTCGTAGACTCTCTTTTCAAATCATATGAATTTTCTTCAATAAAAAAGTGTGTGCGTGTATACATATACATATATATACACACACATATGTATATATAAATGTACATATGTATATATATAGACTTGAGATTACGTGAGACCAGACTGTTTTCGTGAGACCCGTGAAACCACTTAAGATCACGTGAAACCAGACTGTTTACCTTCACAGTGTTTTGCTGTGAAGGTTCGGATTTTTTTTTACCTTCACAATATTTTACTCTGAAGTTTTTAGTGTAAAAAAATAGTCTCACGGGTCTCATAAAAACAATTTGGTCTCACATGAACTCAACCCTATATATATATATATATATATATATATATATATATATATATATAAAATTGCTTTTTATGACTTTTAATCCTATAAAATCAAAACTAGTTAAATTATGATATTTTAAAAGGCAAATTGCATGAAAAAGTAATGTACTTTAACTTGATTGGTAACGTACTTTCAAAACTTTCATTTTGGTAGCTATTACCTAAGATGTAAAGTTTTAAACATTTAAGTAGTCGGATAATCGGTAGAAACATTAACCAGTTACCATGCTTATGTGGCGAGTGATGTGGTATCAACTCAGTATTATTTGCTGAAACATTAACTGGATACCATATCACCCGCCACATCAACATGATAACCGTTTAATGTTTCAATAGGTTACTGAGGTACTTAAATGTTTAAACTTTACATCTTAGGTAATAGGTACCAGAATGAAAGTTTTGAAAGTACGTTACTCGAAATAGGAATCAAGTTAAAATACGTTATTTTTTCATGCAATCTGCCCTATTTAAACTAATTAATTTTGACATCTTCGTTTTTGATCTTTCCATATCTTTGATTTAATTAACGGTCTTTCATGGGTTTTTCCGGGCTCTTATCGGGCCCTTTTCAGCTTTGACTACGCCTTGACATGAACATTTTTTGGTTAACCAATGATTCGTTTACGAGCTTTATTCATGTTTGTTTTAAAACAGTTAAAAACCGGTATCAGGTTTAAAGTTTAGGTGCAAAACGGCTTTTCGCCTATAACTAGTCCTTGGGCCACGACTTTTTTAACTGGTCCATTTTTGGACATGTCCTTGGTCGTTACCGGTCCAAAAACGAGTTAGCCGGTACTTGGTGCATCTTTAATCCCAACCTATATCAAGAAAAACGGTTCAAGTATAACCCGGTTTCTTATTCTAATATTCGCCTTCCAACGAATGCAATGGGCGCATGTTGTCCCAAAGGTGTCGAGTACTTACAGAGACACCGACTAGATACCATGTGAAGAACACATGGAACCTGGTCAGATTACTTTTCAAGTCTTTGAACGAGCCACGTCGAACTTTAGTACTATGAAGCTCGGCTCATTAAGTTAAACAATTCTATTTAGTGTTTGAGATTGACTCGAACTCGAAAATTATTAGGCCCGAGCTCAAGATAGACGATCGCAACTTGAGTAGCCCGTTAAATACTCGACTCGTTTACACCCCTAGGCACAACCAGGAAAGCTTTAAAAATATATATGCAAAAATGAAGTCACGTTATACAAAGTTGAAGTGTGTCGACATTTACGATATGGAACGACCCCAAAAAGCATCAAAACGGCACCTATTCATTCTACCTCAACCTCCACCTCCTTCCTCCTTACAGCGCCTCCATTGACGCTGGAAGTCAGCTCCGCCTCCGCCGCCACCGGCGGCAACCGTTCATACGCCACGGACCGCCTCGGTAAAATCGAGAACTTTCGGAAACTGAGAATCCCACCAAGCTTCTCGTAACTCCATTTTTGTTGAGCATATAACACAATCGCAAGAAGAATCGCTGTTGTAGGAATTGCAATGTCGCCGAGCTTGGAGTAGAAGTCAAGATTCGGGTTTACGAACTCGTATTCCTCGGAGAAATAAGGGTTCGGGATCGGGGTTCGTACGTAATCGTAAATGTGCGGGAGGAGTCGGATTATGGTTATCCCGACGAAATACGATTTCCGTAAGGGTTTGCAATTGATCTGCCATATCAAGTTACCGATAACTTGTGGAAGCAAAAAGAAATCTTGAATTAGACCTACATATTCCTCGAGTTCGACCAACCATGATTGTAGCTTGTGGATGATAAGCACGCATATGAAACCGAGCACGTGGATGAGCCCGGTAACGAGGAGAACCCGGCGGTCGGATGGCACACGGTGCGATTCAAGCGGGGACCGGCTGAGTAATCGGATTCGGGATCTCCAAACTTTTTGGAAGAGCCTCAGAGTTAGCGAGAATGAAACCAGTACAAGAATCTTGACGGTGTAATCTATAACTCGAATCATTTGACTCCTCTCGAGAACCGAAGAGTTATCATATGATTCCGACTTTTTGAAGAGCGCTTCAGCTTCGGTAACGAGTGGAATCCCGTACCCGAGTGCTTGAACGGCTAGCATCATGAGCGATATGTAAGGAACCGAGTCCAAATTCTCTTTGATGTAAAACAATTGGCTCAAAATGCAACCGATTGCGATTGAAAGCGTAAGAGCCTGTAAGATTCCCTCAACACCTCTCCGAGAAAGAACATCTTCCCGTTGAGCCCGATACATGATCTGAACAGTTTGGAGTTTGATCGGTTTGAAAAACAAAGGATCAAACGCGTTCCTTTGACTCGATACCGAGATCCGAGCTGTTGGATTAACGAGCCAACGGGTTTTGGTCGGTGGATATGATACCACAACTTCGATCAAACAGTCCAACCCGTCTTCAAGATCCGCACTTCCGTATAAAATACTCCACGAGGCTCGTACGTCCCGGCAACCGACCATATACATTTTCCCGACAAGCGGATAATACAACCCTTCTACGAAAAGATTCGAAAAGTTACCGAATTGCGGTCCGGTGAGACTAATTTGAGCCGATACGTTCAATAGAAGCTGCCTCTCAGTGTACGTTTTGCTCGAGTGATACGGAGTGTCTTCTTCTACGCTCGAATCGTTTTGGAGCGACCAGTAATGGCCGAACAACGGGCCGAGCGATAAAATCTCGATTTGGACATCAGTTCTTGCCGGAAAATGGCCAGAATCCAGCACTGCAGGGTGGTGAAGTGTGAGATCCTCGGCTAGTAGAGACAGACTGACAAGAAACGAATCGGCATCTTCGACTTTCGGGAAAGTCAAGATCGATTTCTTGATCACGGTTCCGAAGCTGAACGGCTCGTTCTTTTCGAGAACAGCACCCGCCAATGCAATCTTGGAGTATTCATAATACGGACGAGACTCGGTGTACTGATCGTAAAGCTCCGAAGGGCGCACAAGTTTCTCGAACGATAACGGAAAGAACGATCCGTTACCCTCTTTAACGCTCGAAATTGTCCCGAGAATGATGCTTCGTTGCTTGATCGAAAACGTGAGGGGAACGTATAAACAGATACGCGAATCACAACCGTTGATTTCTTGATCTTGATCTTGGTTTTGATCGAAAACTCCACGACAACCAACCATACAAAGCTGCCCGCTCGAAGACTCCCACATCCCTTCAGCTGAAAGAGTCATGTTATTCAATCCCGTTCTTTGTGCTGCATTATAACGATCCTCTAACGGTGAAACGACTCTGATAAGCGCTGCAACCTTCGTAATTCCGCGGTTTTTAGCCGTTTCTTCACATCGAAGATCTTGAAAACTCAATTCTACGCCTTTAAAGCTTCCATTGGTCGCTTTTATACGATCATCCGACTTAAAAGGACCCAATTTGCTGCAAAATTCATCGGTTACATTGCACCTCCAATTTGGCACAACGGTCAACGGATCTTGACCCGTAAACCGTTCAAGAATTAGACAAAAATCCGTCCCTTTATACATCCCAACACCCGTATCGGCGAAACCGTCTTTATAAGGGTATGGATCGCAAGCTTTAGATACGAGTTTTTGCGAACTAAACTCGTAGTTTGCCGATGAACTTAAAGAAGCGGAAATGTGTACTTCATCAAAGAACTTTTGGCTCGATTTCGGGTTCAAACTCTTCAAGCTGCCATAAATCCCTCTTTTGATCAATGTAAACGTTTTCGGATAACGAACGACCAGTAAAATCCGATCATCTTCAATCAATGGCGGCTGGTTCATGTATCCCGGTTCTTTAACCCAATCCCACGGGTTATTAGAATCGGTATAACGAAAAGGCAGCATAGTATTTCCTAATAAACACATTACGGTTTCCCCATTATTCTCTTCGGTTTCAGCTACAATTCCTTGGAACGAAATCGTTAACTGGGAATTCCCGGGGTAGATGTTAAACTCGGGATTTCGATCGTAAGGTTTCGACCCAAATAAACCCCCAATCGTGATTCCCACCTGCAAAACTCCATTGATGCTAACCGAATTCTTCGATCGATGAGCTCGATCGACATCAGTAACCCAAAAAGAGATCAAATTCAATGGAGATCTTTGATCCAATGAACCATTTACGCCATTAAATTTGTTATCAAATGGCATCAATGGCGACTTACCCAATTCTTCCCACCAATCGCCATTAACGAACGATAATTTTTCTTTAAGTCTAAACAATCGTTTTCCATAGGGTTTGTGGTTGGATTCACGATCAGGAGGCAAGATTGAAGAACATTCTTTCTTAACCTCATCGATTCTATCGTATTTGATGATCATGGCGGGTTCATTTCTAGATCTGAAATCCCCAACCCTATTTCCATTAAAATCGATCGATGAACCGAATGCATTCACTAACCTAATGCATAGAATCGCGAAAATCCTAAATATAAGAACACTCTTCATAGAAGTCGAAATTAAGTGAATGAAATCTTTTTTTTCTTGATAAACGTCTGTTGATTCTTGATCAAAAACAGAATACAAGATTTGGGGAAAACATAGATCGCAAAATCGAGCAGAAACGAAGTTATAAAATTGGGGGAAATGAGTAGAGCTCAGTGGGTATGGTGTGAATTGATTCAAAGCTAACCTGGAATCACTTTTGCGATTAATGATTCTAGTTTTGCGAAGTCTCGATTTGAAGCTTGAACTTGAAGCTTTTGTTGGATCTTTGAGTTCGATTTTTGCTAAATTTCTGCTTCTGGTGGAACAAGATCTGTGAGGGAGACGATTGAAGAAGAAGCTTGGAGTTGAAGTCAACTGAAGATGGTAAGATGTTCTTGTCAAATGACTTCTATTTCCTCTTTTGGGCTCTTCAAATTTAATATGATAGATTTATGAACAATTTTCTTTCTTATTTTGTTATACAAGTATTAGGACATGTTTGTTACCAGGTTAATTATTTACTTTTTAATAATTTTATTAAGAGACAATTTTTGAATCGTTAATAGATGAATCTTGTTTGGCAAAAAAAAAAATCTGTCTTTTAATGGTTTTCAAAACCCTCTAAATGATTCGGTATCCATTCAGCGCCCTAGTTTCGTTGTAAATAATTACCAAATAATTATATTTCATTTTACATTATATCATGAGAGCCTATTAATCATTCAGCATAAAATCATTCAACAACGGTTAAACAGCCCCTTAGGTAGGTTAATGAACTTATGGGGTTTATGGTATATATGGTCGGCTATACATAATTGTTTAGTAGTGACTTAATTATGTAACAAGTAGAAAATATATATATTTTTTTCCAAACTTATCAATCATAATTAAAAAAACATGCTCATTCCATATACTCAAACAAAAACCTTTATGGTCTATGTATGTATGTATGTATGTATGTACGTACGTTCGTACATAAGTATGCAAATTAAAATTAATATATACACACATATCAGGTCGAGCTAGGCCGGCGTCGCCCCCCGTCCCCATTAAAATCCCCAAATATGTCCCCGATCCCCTTCACATCCTTGTTAACATGCTCTGAACCCGACCCAAATGTTTCAGTTTTCAATTTTCACTATCGGTTTCGGGTTTTTTTGCCATCCCTAGTTGAATTAATTTTTTTCTCTCTAAATCTCCAATTTCTTTAAAATATCATAATTATTGGGCTGAATCTTGTTAAGCCCATTAAGACATCCTAGACTTAAGCTGGGCCTATCAATTGCTTTTAGGCCCATACCAACCATTAGCTTGTGAAATATAATTTTTTTTAATTAATAATAAAGAGTAATGTGTTTATTGTTAATTTAAAATGATTTTGTATTGATGTCATTGAAAATATATATATATATATATATATATATATATTGATTTGTTATAAAAATTAATTTTAATTATTTATTACATTACAATTAAACTCATTTATCAACATATACACACAATTTTTGTATATTAAAACAAATACTTAAAGTTTGTGTTATTTTAAAATTTAATTTACAAAAATAAATTATATTTTCTATTTGGTCGGGTTTCAGTAAGAACTTGTTTTATGAAAAGCATGAGAACGTATTAAAAAACCGTTGGATTTTTTTACTCCAGCAAAGCTCACCGTGTGCATTTTCTTTAAGGATATATGGTTTAATCTTTTGATTTTCTACATCTGGTAAATAATACCAGATTTTTGTGAATATATGGGAAGTCTGTATTTTTCTTATGAATGTGCACTGATGAAGATATGTCAGGTTTCTTAAAGACATGTAAAGATGTGTGAAACTTCAATGTTTTTGTCTTATGATATGTACAAGTTCAATGTTTTTCATGTTAAGGTATGTACATGTTCATTGGACATGTTAAATTATATGAATGCTAGTTAGACTATGTTTGATCAACTAACTGATAAGCTAGCTGGTGACTTATATTAATAAAATTAATATTTAATGAAATTAATTGGAAAAAGTGGCAAAATCTCCTGATAAGCTACTCACAGCTTTTCAATAAACTAGCTTATAAGTCAGCTTATTTTCATCTAAACATGTACTTAAAAAATAACTTATAAGCTAGTTTATGTTTGTCAGACAATATTTTAACGTATATGTAGATTCAATGTTTTTTATATAAACATTTATTGTTTTTTCTCAAACAATATTGATTTTCCTTCCAATTATGCCATTAAAGTTCACTTATTTACAAATGGGGGTGGAATATTGGATTTATGGGAGGGGGGAATGAACTCATTATATTATAGAAAACTAAACAGTTTTTTTTATTTTCATTCTCATTAATTACTGTTTAATACCTCTAACCAAACATCCCTTATTAAAATATTTATATTTAACTCTAACATGTTCTTTATTTTAAAGATCTCAACATTTATTAATTTTATTAAAATATTTTAAGATTTCAATACATTTTTTAAAAGAATTTTATAAAATAATAATATTTCAATCTTGTTGCTGGGTTATGCATAGAAAATTAAATTTTCTCTGTAAACATTAAGTTTTAGATGATTATTAAACTTGAAGCTTTCTATATTTTAGAGAACAATATAAATAATCTATTAAAGTAAAATAAATAAATAAAACTTAATTTCATCCATTTTAGAGAATCTGTTGTAGATGTTTAATGTTGTATATTCTCATAGTTAACGGATGTAAACGAGTCAATCTTTTAACGAGGTACTCGAACTTGAGTTCGAGCTTAATAATTATCGAGCTTAAGTTGATTTTAAATAAAGTTTGCTTAACTTAACGAGTCGAGCTCTATAACACCAATGTTTAACTCGACTCGTTCGAAAGCTCGATCAAACTTTATGAGTCGAGTCAGTTAAGACAAGTCATACGAGCACACACTTTTTCGATCCAAACATATTTATATGTATACAAATTATGTAATCAAAATATAAAGTCGTCAAGTTTGAGTAAATAAACCGAGTTAATCGATCTCGAGTTCATAAACGAGTATCGAGCTCGGGCTCGACCCAACTTTAAAAAAGTTAATCGAGATCAAGTTAAACTCAAACATAATATTATTTTTTCGAGTTCAGCACGAAAAACCTGATTTTCAAATAAAAAGTCTTCCAGAAAGTTTTAAAAATGACCACTTACCGAATCTAAAGGGCATTTTGGTCAATTAATTCTGATGGAGCCGTTATGGGTGCCAGCGTGGCAACCCCCAAATTCAATTTGAAAAAACACAACGATCAAACCATTCATTCATTCCTACGTGACGTGTCTCATCCTATTCGACCGTTGCATTCTTTCTCAACAAAATCCCCATTTTCTCTGTGTGTTTTCAGTTTTAAGAACAACAATTAGCTCTCCGAAGGTCGATCTCCAATGGCGGATGATTTGATGTTTAGTGCACAAGAGCTGAAAATCGATGAAGGGCTTGGTTACCCAAAAGCTTATGCGAAGCTTTGTCGAGATCGAGGTTTTGGTCCATACTCCCATGGTCCTCCTTTCACTTTCACCCCATACGCTCTTCAACCCTACCAGGTAAAGCTACAATCTCCATTCTTAAGTCGCTATTGATTGTGTACCGGATCTCCATTCGTGATCTGGAACCCGCTTGATTTGAAAAGTTAGGGTTTTTGTTTCGGTGTGTTAATGATTGTTCTGTGAAGTAATTGTTATGGATTCTTGTTGTTTGGCTACATTGTATCATAACAATGTTAATTTCCCTAATCCGGATTATCATCTGGAACCCTTTTCGGTTTGAAAAGTTAGGGTTTTTGTTTTAATGTGTTATCGGTTGTTCTGTGAAGTAATTGTTACGGATTCTTGTTGTTTGGCTACATCCTATCATAACAATGTTGCTTGCCCTAATATGGATTGGTGTCTGTGATCTGGAAACCCTTTTCAATTTGGAGATTTTAGGGTTTTGCTTGGATGTTCATGATCTGCAACTTGCGGCAGTGAATTTTTCAGCTGTATTCTTACTGTTTGTCTAATTTGAATCCATATCACTTTACGATATTTGATTTTCAGTTTTCTTACCATGAAAATGTAGAATTAAAAAGGAAAACAGAACTGAACTACTGAAGAGTATGATGTTTTTGTTCTTATTAACCCCATCAGTAGCTGATTTTCAATTTCTTGATCCCCCAACAACCCTGAAGCTTTTAAAAATGTGGGTTTCTGGAATCTCATCCAATGTTTGTGGGTTTCATTGGAATCTCTGGATTTCAATTCCGGACTTTCCTTTGGGATTGGAGAATTTAATTCCAAATCCCACAAACCATTTCTCGAAATGTGGGTTTCTGGAATCTTAAAATTGAATGTTTGTGGGATTTCAGTTCCGGACTTTCCTTTAAACCCTTTAAACCAACCACGGGATTGGAATGAAATTCAATTCCAAATCCCGCAAACCAAACAGGCCCTTAAGCTTTTTGAAATGTGGGTTTCTGGAATCTTAAAATCTAATGTTTGTGGGATTTCAAACTGAACTTTCCTTTAAACCAACCGCGGGATTGGAATGGAATTCAATTCCAAATCCTGTAAACCAAACGGGCCTGAAGCTTTTTGAATAGTGGGTTTCTGGAATCTGTTTTCTTTATTCAGAGAGTACAAAAAGAATGTAAAGATTATTTTTCATCGCTCTTTAACGTTGTGTAATTCATATTTCTAGGATTCAAGAGCCAAGGAGCTGGACTGGATGTTCCCAATTGTAGATCCGAAAGCTAAACCCTCTGCTAGACCCAAGATTTTTGTAAGCATACTGTGGAAGCAACTCAACCATCTCGGGTAATTCTGTAATTTACACCTGAAAATTTTGCTCCATTTACTTTTTAGTTGATTCAAGAACATATTTCTAACAACGGGTTTCTAACAATTCAGGAATGCTGGCTTTGATCCTGAGACATTTAGGATAGACCCATATGGAAATGTTCTGTATATCCATGCCGATTCTGCTTCTCCTCTTGCTTGGGATATTGATCATTGGTTCCCTTGCTCAAGTAAACATCTTTATGAATAATGTATCTATATTCTACACACATGATTGAACGTATTTATGTATGTTTCAAGTAAATTCTTGGTGTATTACAGGGGGAGGATTGACTGTTTCAAGCAATTTAAGGTTATTGCAATGGCAAGTATGCAAAAAGAAGCATAACAAGCTCGAGTTTTTGGTTCCATGGTGGGATCTTCAAGTGGGTATCTCAGTTAACCAGTTTCTCGCTATATTTGCTTCTTCAAACTCGGATTTCAGGTAAGACATTCTGAAACCCTTAGGTTCCGTTTGGTTTGCAGGATTGGATTGGATTTGGAATTGAATTTCATATTAGATTATGGATGTGGCATATATGGAGATCATGATCAAATCATGCCCTCACATTGACAGGCATAGGGGATTTTATCTGCTGTTCAGCAATGGTGAGAATGAAGAACTCAATGCTTCACAAACCGTTGAATCCCATTGTTTTCCACAACCTTTTAATGAATCGTGGAAGAAATCGGGCCTTGCTCCAGCTGCTGTCGTTGTGTCTAGAAAGGAATCTAACGACGCTTTATTAGCACTACAGTCCATTGATATCAACAGAAGACATACGATGAATTCCCCTATAGGTAAAGAAATATGAAATGCATATACCTCAACTCACTACCACAAAACTGGCTTTATAACACGCCAAAATATGTCTAAATGTCCTGGTAGAATGTTTATAAAGTAGAGCATCTCTAACAGATCCCCCCAAAATGGAGAAAATAGAGATTTTGGGGATTTTGGACATGTTTTTTGCTCCAACAAATTCTCCAAAATGGAGAAAGTAGGAGAGAGTATAAAAATCCCCGAATTTGGAGAACACGCCAAAAATCATTACAATGAGAAAGAAACATTTTTTAAATATATTTTCACCAATATGGAACTTTAAAAATAAGTATTTAGAGAGAAAAATAGTAAATAATTAGATGAACGGAATATTTTAATAATATAATCAATGTTGTAATCTCCAAAATGGAGGTTCTATTGGAGTTGAATGTATTTTTTGTGATAGAGATTTTGAAATTCCATTCTCCATTTTGGAGAATTTGTTGGAGATCACTACAACATTATCGAGTTTATAAGACGCCAAAAGTGTTTAAGCCCTCATAGACTACTTTATAGGACCAAAATTTTGTGTGTTCTATCTAAAGGCGTTGTTATAAGTTTAGAGGACTCTTTTGGGTGTCTTAACAAGCTTTTTAGAAAACTTTTGAAACAATAGGACACATCACTTTTAGGAAGTGTCCAATAAACACATCATTTTACAGGACACTTGTTTTATAAGACACTTTTTCAAATATTGACCTATAAAAGAGCTAATAGGACACTTTGTTTTCAAAAGTGTCCTAAAACACTCTTTAAGACGTCAACATATATAAACTTATTACAACACCTTTAGATAGGGGTCACAGGACACATAAGTGTTTGGCCCTATAAGTTTAAGTACTATAAAGTAATCTATTAGGCACTCGAACATATTTTTGGCGTCCTATAAACTCGATTTTTGGTGTCTTTTCATCCGAAACTACAATATTGAACTCTTTTACCTTTGTGACAGCTGCAAGAAAATTAAGGCCGATTATGTCAAAAGAAAATGAAGTTCCGGAAATGGTTACCAACCCATACCAGGCGATGGTTGTGGCTCGGGATTCACTGAGGCAGCAGGAAGAAACTGTAAAGAAACAGGCAGAGATCGAGAAATTGGATGAAGAAGTGGTACAATTGAAGCAAAAGAACGAAGAAGAGAGAACTTCCATTCAAGATCTAGAGTTGTTGTTGATTAAGAAACGAAGGCGTGCAGAAAAATGTCGGCGGTTAGCAGAAGCACAATCCTCATATAAGGGAATGCTAGAGAAGATGATAAGAGACGCTATGCACCAGTAAGAATCTTTTTGTCATTCTCTTTTGAACCTCCATGATATTTATATAGGGGTGGTTTCAATTACAAACCATGTAATTCTTACAAACTATACAAACCATGTAATTCTTACAAACTATACAAACCATTATATTAGAAATAATTGAGATATTTATGAAAATTATCATCATTCATTAAATATGATCACGGCTTTAGATTAGGAAACAAAATAAAACCAGATATTTACTAGACTAGATGGACGGCTAAGATTGGTTTTTATAGTTTGTTAGAATTGCATGGTTTGTAAATGAGTTCCCGTGAGACCACAAAATAACACCTAATCTTCACAGTAAAACACTCGGAAGATACAAGAAAACATTGAATCTCAAAAGCAAAAACACCGTGAAGGTTCAGTGTTATTTAGGTGGTCTCACTGGTCTCACATGATCCCAAGTCATATTAAGTATATATATATATATATATATATATATATATATATATATATAGGCGAAGGATCGTGTGAGGAGGGAAGTTATGGTGAGAGAGTGTTCTTCAGTTTTTCATTTTTTTTGTGGTTTTCCCCTGAAATTGACCATATATATATTATAGAACAAGAAAAAGCTCAAATCTTTTTGTTTATTTGCAGGAGTGTGATTTATAAAGAACAAGTGAGGTTGAATCAAGCAGCAAGTAATGCACTCATGGCTAGGCTGGAATCTCAGAAGGCAATGTGTGATTCATCAGAACGAGAGCTCCACAAGAAATTTCGGCATAGAGATGAACTCGAGAAACAAATCAGACCCGAATGGGAACAGATTAGGAAGAGATCAAGAACGGATGATGATGCCTTGTGTGACGGAAAAGATGATAAGATGATCTTATATCTAAAACCAGAAAGCAACAACAATGAAGAACTACCAGTAGATAACGCAATGGAGGTAGCTTTACTGCAAGAAAAAGACGAGAATACCCTTTTATGCTTGCCCGAAGTCGGTTCTGCACACAAACAATTGAGGGTATTCTTGGAAGAAGAACACAAGGCATCTGAAGCCGAGCAAGAAGATGGAAATGAGATAGAAATAGAGAAAAAGAATGAATCGTGTGAGGGAGAGAATGGTAAAAAGCCGCAAAAATTGCAAATAGAGGAGAAAGGGATCATGTATGACATCCGTTTTCCGGTTGATGATGCTGAATTAGTAGGAAAAGAAGAGGATGAAGAGAGCAGAAAGCAACGCGGAAAGGGGAACGTGGAGAAATGGCTTCAATTGCTCTTGGACGAGGGTACTACCGATCAAAACACCGAAATTCGTGGTCTAGATGCTAGCAAAACCGAAGAAATCATCAGAAAGATGAATGCAAAGTATCCCCAGAAAGAAATCTTGAACGAAGAAGAGACCCCAGAAGTAGAACTAGAAGAAGCCACAAAAGAGATGAAAAAAGAAATCTTGCAGAAGGAAGAGACCCATGAAGTAGAACTCGAAGAAACCACGAAAAAGATCTTGAAGAACCCTCCTTACAAGATAATATCCGTGAAAACCCGCGAATTGGAGTGCGAGAAAGGAGTTGGTGGAAGCAGGAGGAAGAGTTTTGAAGTGAAGGAAAAAAGTGAGAAGATCGGGAAATTTAAGGATATCGCAAGGAGCGAGAGTGCAAGAATGCTGAGACGAATCCCGTCTTCACCATCGATAATTCTGGGCATGAAAAAGGGCGTGGATTGCATACGAAGAAAACCCGCAGTAAAAGGTGATGATGAAGATTATGCTGCTAATAGCAGCTTCATTAAGTCATCTTATAAGGTGATCAAGAAAGCAGTAAAGATTTAGTTTTTCCCTTTTTGCAACTAATTGTTGCAAGTGAAGTTGGTATTCTTTTAAGATCAATAAGTGTGTGAAAAGTGTGTGTGTGTGTGTGTGTGTGTGTGTGTGTGTTTGATATGTTGTGTTGGATCTGCCAAATGATGTAATAACTGGGTTCTTGTTTGGAGTTGTGCTTCTTTTTGTGCATAAATTGGAAAAGGAAGTGATACTGCTTTCATTTGTTACATTGGTTATTAGATATGAAATGTGAGCATAAATAATGCTTTGAAATTTTGAATGTTAAACCGGTCGGAATCGGAAAACGACACAACTCCCGACATCAAAATGCTGGAGATGTACGGTATCTAAAACTGTACAAGTTGGTATAAACGAGCCGAGTCGAGGTCGGGTTCGCGCTCTAACTCGAATATTTTTCAAATGTTTGAGCTTGAGATTGATTAACTCAATGATTTTACATCTTTGATTATATAATTTGTAAACATATACATTATGTTTGGCTCGAAAAAATGTATATTCGAATGGCTCAACTCAATTCGTAAAGCTTAATCGAGTTTTTGAACGAGTCGAGTCGAACATTGGTATTATGGAATTCGACTTGTTAGATTAAGCAATTTGTGTTCAAGATTGACTTGAGTTCGATAATTATTAAGCTCGAGCTCGAGTAGCTTGTTAAAATAGATGGTTGCTGAGAACATGCATATATATATATATATATATATATATAATATATATATCTGTGACAGACCCTACTTTCGAGTGAGATATACTAAGTTGTTTGGTTTAGTTTAAAAATGGATTAATGGAAAGTTTGTTATGATCTGATTCACATTTTGATTCGATAACATTTTCAATTTTGTAAATATAAATTATAAAAAAATATACGGAAAAATAATTACATGCGAATTAAACGTAAAATTCAGCAAAAAAAAATGTATTTTGTTTCGGTTAATAAAATAGTTTTTTGTTCTTTAAACAAAACGTCAATATGTCCGAGTGGTTAAGGAGACAGACTCGAAATCTGTTGGGCTTTGCCTGCGCAGGTTCGAATCCTGCTGTTGACGCTTCCTTTTTGATAAATTCTATTGTCGTCCCTGTGGTTTAGAAAAATTGCAATTTCAGTCCCTTTAGTTTACGATTTATTGTTATTTTCGTCTCTGAATTGATTTCTAACAGCGAAATATGAATGAATAGGGACGGAAACAGCAATTTCTAAACAAAGAATATATTTATTGAGTAAATTGCTTTTCGTTAATAAATTCTATTTTCGTCCCCATGGTCTAAAAATTACGATTTTCGTCCCTATTTTACAGTTTTTTGTTATTTTTATCCTTGGACTGATTCTTACCTCTAAATTGTAAATCATAAGGATGAAATTAACATTGAATTACAAACCATAAGAACGAAAACCGCAGTTTCTAAACTATATAAGGATATATTTATTGAGTAAATTTAGGTTTTCGTCCTTGTGATTATGCTAATCACCAGTCAAAACGAATACGAAGTTAAATGTTTGTTACATTAAATAAAAACCAAAACAAACCACAAGAGTGGTGTCTCATTGGTTTGAGTTTGTGCTCCAAAGGTCAAAAGTGTCTGGAGGTCCTACGTTCGAATCCAAAGAGGAATAAAGATTCCCTTATGGCCATGGAGGTTCAAATGCGGTGATTTCGGGCTACCCGCAAAGTAGATGATCGCTCTGAAATTGGTCGGCTCGCATAACGGATTGATATCCAGGTTAATAAAAAAAATAAGAAATGTCAACACATGGATTGTAAGATGCCACATCTGTTGAAGGGGTACAGAATGTTGGCTTATAAGGGATTGGATACCTCCTCTACAGACACATTTTAAAACCATGAGTCCATGCATAGACAAAACAAACAATATATAATACGGTTATCTAGGATGATACAAACGATATCAGAGTCAAGAACCAGATTGGTGTGCCAACGAGGACGCTAGGCACCCAAGAGGGTGGATTGTAAGATCCCCCATCGGTAAGAAAGAGAAACGAATGTTGCCTTATAAAAGACTAGATACCTCCACCATCAGACGCGTTTTAAAACCAAAAGTACAAAAACAGACAATATCTGATACATTAACTCCAGTATTTTTGACCAATAGGAAAACAGAAACTCTTATCAAATTAAAACATCAAAATACAGTTTCTACAAAGATGAACAACTTCAAAAGTAAGCAGCATTCCACAGCCTTTTGCCCTTCATTATTCTACTCAAAGACAATGACAAAAACATCCCAAAAGTTTCAATCTTTATCTGTATCAAAACCCTAAACTCCTATAAAACCATCCGAATTAACCCTGGATTCAAGCGTTTCTCGGAAACGACGTTTCCGGCGAACCGCTGCTGGCATCACTCCCCACCGATCCGTTTGCATCCACGTTCGAAGAAACAATCGGGATTTTGACCGCCGCCCTCTCCATCTCCTTCTCGAGCTCTTCCTCCTGCCTCAAAGCAGTGAACTGTGTGTCCAACGACTTGGCGGCACCTAACCACGCCACCACGATCACGAGAAGTACTCCGCCAAGGTATGGTGTCGAGTTTGCAAGCGAACCGAACGTTAAGATCATGAATTGTTGAATCAGAGCTCCGCCCGATTTCCCCAACGGGTTGCACACGACATCTATGGCGGCCTTCCCTTTAACCTGAATACTAACTATTGTAAATATACATTCAAAATGAAGTAAACAAATAACATTGACGGTATTTGGGGCGTTTTTGGTATCGAACCTTGGTGTCTTCATCCAACGGAATGTATGCCATTTCTTTGCATGGATCGAACAAACTGTATTTTGCGCTTTTGCTGAATATGTTTTGCATTGCACCAACATAGACTGCTGCTAAAAGAGGCGTAATCCCGAACTTCATAAGACCTGGTCCGAGAGGATCTCCAAACAAGATCAAAGAGAAGAATCCGACCCCGGTTAGAAGAAGGACCGTTGGCGTGATTTTGGCAGCCACCCCCCAACCGTACTTGTTGAATATCCATTGACTTAGAAGCATCATCGTGAACGTTGCTATTCCGGTTGCGGTCGAGAAGTCGCCCATGAAAGACGAGTACTCGTTTGGACTAGGAAACTGCAAAAAATACGACAAGGCATAAATAACGTGCACATCCACAGGATAAAGACCGGATTGGACCCCTGTATTAAAGAATGATAAATACGACTCTTGTTTGTATAGGGCCGTTGTCGACCCACAATCTCGTTCTCATTTTGGACGAATAATACTGCAATACAAACTCGTCCAATGTTTACCTGGGCCTTGAGCTTCGATTTCCATGTAACCTCGACGAGATTAATGCTAATCCCGTATGCTACGACCAACGTAGCTAGATCCCTAATGTACGGCGATGACGCCAAGAATTTCAAACTCTCCATCGTCGTCATATTTGGCTTCTCCTGAAAACAGTGAATTCAATGTTCATGTTTAGCATCGGAAAAACAACCGACGAGGGCCGAAACTTGATACAAGATTGAAAATTTTAACGAGAAAGGCTCGAGAACGTACCTTCTTCTTCTTGCTACGGGTAGGAAGAGGAACAAACGTATTCACCCACCAATAAAGACCGCAAATGGCTAATCCCATTAGGACGACAATGCTCATCATGTATTTCAACGAAATGGCCCATCCATCGACACCGGGACCTAAATGTTTCCTCATATTCGAGAAGTACTTCACGGTACGTCCCGAGAAAATCAAGGCAATATTGGCTCCGAGACCGAATAAAGGATAGAACTTTTTGGCTTCTTCTATGGTCGTTATCTACATCATGAAACAATTACGGGTGTCAATTTCGGCATTATCATCTACCATAGTTGTGAAACTAAAACCGTTAAAAGTATTGACGAAACAATAAACCAAAACCAAACAAATACAGTATATCCCTCGCACACCCTAGGTAGATATGGCATGGATATGATCGAGTTTCATACATGATATATGCAGTGGCGGACCCATGATTTTTACCGAGCGGGTGAACCTTTAAATGTCCGTAAAGCCGCTCGATGTGTTTTTAGTCGAATTCCGTCTTTTGGGGTTTTTTCTTAAGTTTTTTTGGTTGATTTCAAGGGATTTTTTGAGTTTTTGGTTGATTTCGAGGGACTTTATATAAGTTGCACCCAAACCTTACATGACCAAAAAAGTTGAACGGTAGCACGGGACCCCGCTCCCGTCAAGGTAGGTCCGCCCCTGGATATATGTATATATACACACATACACACACATAGGCGTGTATATATTATATATACGGATAGATAAACAGGAAATGGGCAAAGGCAGCACGGGTAAGATACGAAAAACATCCATGATTATGTGCAGGGACAGCTTGTATATTCTCACAGAGACATATACATATACACATATACATGTATACAGTCTATGTATGTATGTCCATACAGATGTATTTATATATACATACATATATATATATATATATATATATGCATATGTATGTATGTACGTGTGTCTGTGAGACTGTGACTGTGTGTGTACATATAGAGCAATGTTCAAGGAAAACTCCCAAAAAAATGAAAAACTGAGGAACAACCTAATAGTCGTTCGTCTATACAGTAGGCATATATGCACACAAGTCATTGATCAGGTATGCACATGTGCATAACATGCAGACATTTCAATTACTTGTATGCACATGTGCATACCGTAGAGATGAACAACCATTAAAGGGCTCCTTGGTATTTCATTTTTTTTTTGCAGTTTTCCCTTGAACCTGACTATACACACACACACACAATATACAAGCATTTGAAGGAAAACCAATTGTTGAATGCAAACAAAATATACCATTTCTTGTAATCAGATTATATCATCAAAAAGATCAAATTATGGTATAAAAACACCAACTTTCAATCAAATTACCCCAAATTTCTATTAATATCAAGAACTAATTCAAGAGCAAACAAGATAAACACTAAATTTCCATCAAATTACCCCAAACTTCAATCAATTTCAAGAACTATTTCAAGATAGAAAAACATTTGAAAGAAAACCAATTGCTCAATGCAAACAAAAGTCACCCATTTCTTGCTATCAAATTGTATCATGAGAAACAGCAAATTTATGGTCTAAAACGCCAAATTTCAATCAAATTACCCAAATTTCAACCAATTTCAAGAACTATTTCAAGATACAAAACATTTGAAAGAAAACCAATTGCTCAATGCAAACAAAAGGCACCCATTTCTTGCTATCAAATTATATCAACAAAAGGAGCAAATTTAAGGTCTAAAACACCAAATTCCAATCAATTGCAAGAACTAAATCAAGACAAAGCATCATTACCTGATTAGCAAACCCCCAAAACAGAACTGAAACCACCACACTTCCCCAAAGCTCAGCCATCACATAGAACAAACAGAAGCTCCAAATCCTCATAATTGCAAGAGGTCCAAGAAACCTTGGCCCCAAGAACTCAAGTAGCCTATCAGCAAGTGCTGTTGGATGGAAGTAATTGCTAAGAGGATACAAAACAAACCCAAAAGCCCCAAAAAATGCTATAAAGGGAAGGATTACAGTGTAGAAAAGAGCCTTTTTTGATAGCACATTTGACAATTTGGTATACAATAACATAAACCCAATTGCCATAGGCAAATTAACCCAAGTTTTCAAAAAGGGTATAATTTCAGCACTTGAACCCTTGGCTGTTACCACTAAGACATCTTTTGTATCCCTAAGGATTGTATAATTGAAAAGAATGCAGAAAAACATCAACCCTAATGGTACAATCTTTTTCAGGGTCAAAACTTCAATACCCATAAACTTAGGGCCTTCCACTTCACCATATCCACCACCACCGGCGCCACCGGGGACGGCGGCTCCGGCGGCGGCGGAAGCCTTACAAACATGAATTCTAGCCTTTTTGCCACCTAACAAACCAGGGATTGTACCAAATCCTTGAAATTTTCTTGACCCATCAAGATTTAAAGAAAACCCATTTGTGGATATGGGTTTTAAGGGATTTGAGAGATTGAATCTTTGGCGGAGAGAAAGCTGTGGTGGTTTGTAAAGAAAAGCTCTGGTTTGTGGGTTTGAAGGAAGGGATAAAAGCCCTTTTGTTTGGATAACACCTTCCATTTTCACACCTCTCTATCTCTATCTCTCTTCCTATCAGTTCTTGAATTCAAGAAACTGAAAAGATAAGAAAATGGGAATCTAGAAGAACATTAGAGAGAGAGAGAGATATGTGAAGAAAGATGATGGAGACAACGTGAAAGAGCTGCAAATTGCGGTTTGAGATACGAAGGTTTATGTATTAAAAAGAAAACCTAAACCCTTTGCTTTGAGAAGAGACAATTATGGAAATGGAGAATTGGGAAAAGATTTTGTGCAGAGTTTCTTGTAATAAATAATAATTAAATCTGCTAATTCGGATTTAGTTTTGGAAGAAGAATCTTGGTCGTTAAATCAGCTTTTTTGGAAGGTCCAGATTGTTTTGAATTTAATATATATAACTGATTATTTATAATATTTCTAAATAAAAAAACAGATGGTTTTAAAAAAAGCCAACTTTCAAATAAAAATGATGTGTAACCCCCGACAGTTTTTATTTTGAAGGTTTTAATATTAATTGTATAAATTATAATTTTTATTTAGAATAATAATATTATTTGAATTTATTGATAGAAATAATAATAAAAAATCTTTCTTTTTCTTACTTTTTTATTTTGAGAAATTCTATAAAAATAGAGATTTTTAGTTTTTATTTTAAAAAACGTTTAAAAAAATTGTTGGAGTAAAAATATGACATAAAACTTTAAAATCTCTATTTTGGGTATTTTTGCTCTAACGGATTTCTCAAAACTGAAAAAATAGGATAGAGATTGTGAAATTATATAAATTTGGAAAACTATCAGAAAATTATTACCGTTATAAAAGATAAAATGTTTTTTTATTTTTTTATACCCAATAGGAATCCTTGAAATTGAATGTATAAGAGAGATAAATAATATTCTATGAAATGTATTTAATATTTTAATAACGTAATTCATATTGTAATATCTGAATGAAAAAGTTATTTTAAATTAATACTAGAAGGATACTCGCGCAATGTAGTGAAATGCATCTCGATTTTAATGTTTAGTAAAATTATTTGTCTATGCCTATATAATACGGTTTTATGTGGTTTTTGAGAAAACGACGATATTTTTATTTTGAATAAAAAATAAATTTGAAGATATCATTTTTTTTTCTTATATCGATCTCAGTATCAAATTAATTATTTAAAAGATTTGTTTTTTTGGATATCCTTTAATTCAATTTTTTTATTATAATTTAATTTAAGTTTAGTAACGAATTAATTTATTTTTGATTTAATAATATTTTTTTATAAATACAACAATTAAGTATTCTGTCAAAACTCAATAACTATTCTAATTATATTTCAAACTTTTTATATCTATAGATGAAATATTTATCATGCATTTGATTACGTTTATCTACAGTTAGTTACACAAATTCAAATATAGAGTTTTAATAAGTTGTACTTACGTACAAATTATTTTTAATCTTATATTTTAAGTAATATACATCAATTTACAGTACTTTATGCCTAAAAACTAGTTTTTAAGAGTTTTTCTCAAATGATTCATAATACAGTCTAGATAAATTTTCTTAGAAAATTTTGACTTTTGATTCTTCATTTTAAATAATCTCTTGGAGATGCTAAGCTTTTATATATCAAATTTTCTATGGTTAGATAATACTCCATTTTTACAAGTTCGGTAATAAATGGTATGATTTAACCTTTCGGATTGTTCTCGTTGTGTCAGTCTCGGGATTTTTATAAGGCACGTATTTGTAAACTGTGTATCTAAGGATAAGTATTTAGTATCTAAAGTTGAATCCCGTATATTTTCACATATTCCACCAAATATATCAATCTCTTTATCTATTAAGATAAAGTCGAAAAGGCTTAAATCAGATTACTACTAACTAAGGTGGCGTTTGTTTTTTAAGAGATGCTTAAGTCTGAAGTCTTATTTTATTTCTGATTTATAAGATGTGGTGCTGATGTCGGAAATCTGAATCAAATAAGACTATTTGTTTTTGTAAACTGATAAATGTTTGAATTTGTTTAAATTGTCTATTTTACCAATTAAAAAAATATATTGTTGAACTTGAAAAATAAAATTTATACAATTTCAGATATTTATTCATCATCATTACGAAATTTGAATCTAAATTATATAATTAACATTCATTTATATGAAAATATGTCATTAATGTATTTAATGCATTTAAATCCTATTAAAATACATGAATTGAGAGACGTGAGGATTGATTTGGTAATGATTGATCGAGAGAAATCATCAATTAAGATTAATTGATTGATAAATGTCATTGTTGAGGGTTTGAAGAACAATAAGATACAAATAAAATGTTGGTTTACCTCTTACCAGATAAGAGGACAATAAGACATAAGTACATCTAAAAATTTGGAAAAAGAACAAACAGTATGAATGATCTTACCTCTTAATTAATCAAACATAATATTTTAATAAAATCTTTTTTATAAAAAACAAACAAGACCTAATTGTTTCGCTAGTTGTCTTAAAATAAATATACAAATTTATCTGGTTGTCTAAAAATAAATTAGGCGTATTCGTACGCAGAATCGAACATTATTGAATATTTTTAAATACATTATTCTTATTAGATCAATATAATAGGAAAAATTGCATGAAAAAATAATTTAATTTGAAATCTATTTTGGATAACTTACTTTAAAAACTTTCATTTTGGTACCTAGAATGTAAACTCTTAAACATTTAAGTATCTGGGTAATCGGTTGAAGCATTAACCGGTTATCATGCTAATATGATATTCAACTCAGTAATATTTGATGACGTGGTTAGTGAGATGATTTTTTTAATCTAAAATTAGTTTTTTTTTAATCTAAAATTAGTGTTCAACCGATTATCCGAGTCCTTGAATTTTTAAAACTTTACATATTACATACCAATAAAAGTTTTGAAAGTACGTTACCAAAAATAAAAATAATATAAGTTATTTTTTATACACTTTGCTCTATGTAATATAGCATTTAATTAAAAATATAAAGCAGACCAAAATGTATGAATGAAATCTAGATATCTCGGTCCAAAATAAGTCATGTGATAGGTTGCTAAATCCCAAAAAGTGGCACGAGAGAAAATGACAAATTTGCCCATTCACGTATTTGTGAAAGTTTGTGTACATTATTTATTTCCAAAAATCTTCTTTCTATTAGTTTAGCAATTATTTGATTTATACATTTAGGAGGAGTTTGTTAGTTGTTAAATGATTTAGTGCAGAATGATTAAGTGGTCATAATAATCAAACGACTCTCATGATATAATGCAAAATGAAATATAATTATTTGATAATTGTTTATAATGGAATTAGGCCGCTGAATTGTTAAGGAACACACATGATACAAAATCATTCAGGGGGTTTAAAACCATTAAGAAGCAGACTTTGTTTTATCAAACAAGATTCACCTCTTAACGATTCAAATGTTCTTTTTTAATGGAACTATTAAGAGGTAAGCATACAACCCCAATGTGTTGCAAAAATATGTGTAGATGTGTTTTTAAAAATTTATATATTTGATCCCTACAATTGCGGATCCGGGTCAGAAACTTTATTTTTTTTCTTACACTTTGATCCTCCACAAATTACGGACTTGTCAATTGCGAACCCATGACTATTTTCGTAGTAATTTTGGAAGAAAAATGACTAAGAGATAAAAATAAGTGGTCAAAATGACTATTTCAATTAATTTCCCTAATTTATAACTAATTTCATAAGTGACACATGATCATAAAAAAATTACATTTTTATCAAATAACAATAAAACTACAATTAAATATTTTTTACAATAATTTAATACAAATTAGTTTATTAATTAAATAAGTATTATAAAGCAAAATTAATNAAAATCGTCATTTTGGGGAACCAACTTGCACCTGATTCCTATTTTGGGGAACCAACTTGCAAAATAATTATAGAAAAATAACTAAAATTCGTTTTTTTCCAAAAATTAATGCAATAAAATATATTTTTCATTTCAAATCTCGTTTTTTTAATTCAGATATCAAATTGAACATTTTTAAAAAAAATCCAAATTATCACAACAAAAATTACTTTTTACTAATGAAAAAAAAAATTAATTTAATAGGAAAAAAATTAATTGATACAATTGGTCAGATATAAAAATCTTGAATTTGATATTTAATATTTATTTTTTATTGCATCAATTGACTTTTTTCTATTAAATTGATTTTTTTTGCATTAGTAAAAACAATTTTTATTGTGATAAGTTGGATTTTTTTTGTAAATGTTCAATTTGATATCTGAATTAAAAAAAAAAACGAGATTTGAAATGAAAAATTGATTTTATTGCATTAATTTTTGGAAAAAAAAAGAATTTTTGTTATTTTTCTATAATTATTTTGCAAGTTGGTTCCCCAAAATAGGAATCAAATGCAAGTTGGTTCCCTAAAATGACGATTTTGAAAGTTGGTTCCCCAAAATAAGAATCATGTACAAGTTGGTTCCACAAATTAGGAATCAGGTGCAAGTTGGTTCCCCCAAATAAGGATTTTGAAAGTTGGTTCCCCAAAATAGGAATTAAATGAAAGTTGGTTCCATTTTGGTGCAATTTTCCCTTCTTATAATTTTATTTTATTTAAGTATATTTAATTATTAATAAAAAACAAAAAAACTACATTAAACGCATAACATTTAACAATTTAATCTTATAACAATTTAGACAAACAATAATGTAATTTATATAACATCATATTTGTACAACCAAAATCTTATTTAATAAATTATTCATACATTTTTATAAACATACTTTCCAAACATAAAAACACGTCACATAACACAAAACAATTTTTTATACTATTCACAGCCACATCAGTAAAAAATACTGATGTGGCATTAACAACTATCAAAAACCAATTTTATATAAAAGTTATACCTATAATCGCTATAGAGGCATGTTTTTTTTTTTTTTGTCAAACAAGATTCATTTTTTAACAATTGAGAAACTGTCTATTAATGAAACTATTAAAAGATCATACGAGTCGTTTAAAATCCATAAAAAATTTCGAAAAATTTATAGTAATTTAGCATCTCCAATAGATTCTCTATACAAAGAAAATTCCGTTTTCTTCTCATTTTTGCTCCAAGAGATTATTTATATGGTTATTTAAAATTTGTAAAAAATATATCAATATTAGTATCAAATTAACTAATCAAAAGTTCTTGTTTGTTTAATTTTTTTAATCCAAATTTTTTATTATAATTTAATTAAACGTAACGAAGGAACTCAATTTAGGTTTAATAATATATGTTTTTTTATAAAGATAATAATTAGGTATTCTGTTAGAACTCACTAATTATCATAAATTATATTTTAGATTTTTTATATTTTATATTTTAAAATGAGATGTTTATCCTCTACTTGATTATGTTTATTCACAATTAGTTACACCAATTCAAATATAGAGCTTTAATAAGTTACACTTATTCACAATTTATTTGTAATCTTGAATTTAAATAATATGCATCAATAAATAATACTTTATATATAAAAAATATTTTTAATGGTTCTTGTCAAATGCTTTGTAATATAATATAGTTTTCTTTATTTTAAAAAAAGTTTTAAAAAATCTGTTAAAACAAAAATCCTTAAAATCTGTAATATTAAAAATAGTCGTATTAAATTTAAAGAAGAATTGGGATGGATATTTAGGGGTGGAAGTGTCCAAAAGGGAATGGAGATATGGTGGTGAGGGTGTTGGATGGTCAACGGTGGAGCTTCATCCACGACCTCTTTTCCTGAATATATTCCTCGAGATTCTCAAAAAACCACTCTTTCCTCAAATATCTCCTTTCCATTATATAAAATATAAACTATTATTTTGATAAAGGGTATATGATGTAACCTTGAATTCTGATATGTTGAAAATTTAAAAATAAAATATTTAACTATTTTTAAGGGTTTTTTTGACAGTTGTTGAATGGTTTGATGTAAAATAATTAAGTAATCAAAATGATTAAGAAACTTTCATGTTATAATGCAAAATGAAATATAATTGTTTGATAATTATTTACAATGAAGTTAGGGTGTTTAATGGTTAAGAGAGACACATGATACAAAATCATTCAAAGGGTTTTAGAACCATTAAGAGACATTTTTTTGTAAACTAGATTCACCTCTTAACGATTCAGAGGTTGCCTCTTAATAGAATATAATTGAAATACCTTTAATTTAATTAGGCTTGGCAGAGAAAGTTAACAACCATTAAACAGAAAAGCACCGTTAAGAATTGACAAAAGTAAATGACCAAACTCTTTTTTTTAAAGTTTAAATACAATATTTATTAACCACATTGGTGGTGCCTGATTAGTTTGAATTTGACTCCAAAATTCAAAAATACCTGGAGGTTTCAGGTTCAAATATAAGGAGAAATAAAAATCTCTTTATGACCATGAAGGTTCAAATACGATGACTTCAGATTATTTACAAAACAAATGGTCGTCTTGAGATTAGTCGACTGACATAATGATTTAAATATCCATGTCAATCATAAAAAAAATACGCTATTTATTGAAAATTACAAATGTTAATAAAAAAATAAAAAATGTATTGCACGTTCCACGCATTTTGCATTTCAATTTATTTCCACAATTGCAACGAAATTAAATATTGGAGTATATTACATTTTTAGTCCCTACGATTTGTTAAAAAATTATGTTGAAAATCCTATATTTTAGATATTACGGATTTCATCCTTATAGTTTGTAATTCACTACCATTTTCATTCTTGCTATTTATAATTTATTGTTCTTTTAGTCCTTTGGATTACAATTATTTACTGTTTTGGTCCCTTATATTTAAAAATAAGAATTAGTTCAAGGACATGAAAATAACAATAAATTATATAGATAAAAATCATAATTTCTAAACTATAAGGACAAGAGCTATAATCTTAATAAACCATATGGACGAAAATTGTAATTTACTTTAAATATTGAAATGCATGTTTTTTCAACAAAAAACATTGGAGGAAAGTATAACCCCTAAACAAAATGATATTTCCATTTTTTAGCTTAACGGACAGAAAAATGAGCATCTTTATAAAATGATCGAGATGTATGTAAATCGACTTTAGGCAGCATCCATATGCTCCTAGGCACGTGATTTACCTCTGCTACGTTAATCATGAGATCAGTACAGTGAGAACACTCCAAAAAATAACGCCGTAACGTCATACCCTTTTTACAGAGATACGATAAAATGTTTCCTTGCAATTGTAGCTTATTTTGATTATTCGTGGTGTCATCACGTCTATTTATTTCAATCGCTCTACCAAAAGTTTGTGAAAGAATTACTTCATAGTGGTTGGTGGGTTACCAATTATGTCCCAATCATGTACATTTTGACAAGCATATACGATCTTTTTATTATATCAGTATATCTATATTTATTAAAATATCGTTTTATTTTATTATAAGTAATAGAACAATATTCCTTCGCATTCTACGTGGGCCCGATCTCATTTTGCGAGGATGTATTCAATGTTCTGCTTGTATTTGAGTATCGATGATGCGAAATAGAAACATTAATAGCAGACATCTCCATGGATCAAAAAGAGAAGAACAATGGACTGGTAAATAACTCGAACTTAAGAGAATCATAACGTTTGATCCATTAGAAGTCAGTGATGGATCCATTGTGGTGCATCTAGTAGCATGGGACACCGTTCTGTTCATTCGTCGTAGTGAGAGCATCAAATTTTCATGTTCTACTATGTGTTTATAAGCTCACAATCCCCACTTTCATATTTTAATAGGCCTGAATTATGTTTTATAATCCCAATCCAAGTTTTATGTTGATCAATGCAAGAAACGAACGAGAAAACGTGAGTAAAAATGATTGTTGTGCTTAAGAGGGTTGTACAGAACAAGTGGTCAAAGAAAAACAAAGTAGAGGAAAATGCTACCCGGACATGCTACCCTTCCATACCAGGGTAGCATGCAAGGGTAACACATTTCCTTGCAAGGACCAATTTTGCCAAATTTTGAATCTTTAACTGTTTTTCCATCTTCTTGGTATAAATTGACTTGGAAACTGCCGTTTGAGGGAGATCTGGCCTACGAACGATTTTTGGGAGCAATAGAGAACATTTGAAGCGATTTCTACCATCTCCATTCCATTTAATCAATGTATATCCAAGGGAAAATCGAGGTTGTTAAGAGCTTGTTGACAACTATAGTCAGTTTGGGCTTGTTTTACCATTTTGCATCATATGAATCAATGATAATGTCTGGATCACAATCGAAATTGAGATATTGTTGGTCTTTTTAGTTATATCTTTTTATTTGCATAACTAGTGTTAGTTATATCTTAATCCACCGCCTTTACTTAAAGTATAGAAGCTGAGTGATAGCCATAACCAGTCCCTGTGAATTCGATATGACTTACCACTATTACAATTAATATTGTGATTTGGGACAGTTAAAACTTATTATTTGCCGATCTCGACAGCCGTCACGGGGTGTAAAAAATTTTAGGTTCGTGAAATGCGTCACTGTATTATTTTGTTGGGAGCAACTGTACCATATGTGAAACTAAAATAATAACACAAAGTATCTCTTAAGAGAGTTGGTTTACATGGTCTTTTATCTCTTTCCCGGGTTTTGAATAATTTGTATAATTTTCTTTATTTTTAAATTTTATTTTCAGATTTATAGCGTTTTTTTAAAGAAACTGAATAAAAGACTTGAACACGACCTCACAAAACAAAAAGAAACAAACTAACCAACATACTAATGATAATTTTATAAAAAATATTCAATTTTGTTTCTTATAGTTAAATGATACCACACGGGAAAAAAATTATAGATCCATCTCTGATAAAAGCTAGTGGGTCCCACTAAATGACAACAACTTTTATTTATTTTAAGTAAAAATAATCAAATCATGTGAAATCAATGCTTTGTGATTAAAGGGTCGTTTACCAAACGATTACCCGGATAAGCGTTTATCAAGTCATATTACTTTACCGGATGATTATGACAAGGACCAAAAATCTTACTTGGTAAGAGCAAAGACATGGAACGAGAGTTTTACACAGTAAGTAAAGGTAATGACTCTCACCACATTTAGCACTTACCGGATAAATTGTTGCATACGATACCGTTTTAGTGAACAAAAATCTTACCTGGTAAGTAAGTGATAGTGTAAAATTTTACCCGTAAGCGCTTACCGAGTAAATGTTTGATAAACGACCCTAATTTTCTGTTATTAATCAAACAATTCAGATTTTATAATTTAGAATATGTTCAATAATAACATATTTTCACTCATAACGTGTGTGGTCAGAAATATAAAACGAGATAATAAACATCAGTATACGTCAAATGTTTAGTTTCTGCAATAATCGGCACAATGTGTTTCCGATAGAACTCCGTATTAATCACAGCTTACGGTAAAATGTGTTTCAATTTTCCGATTAGTTACCGTCGGTTTTCTGACCATACTTCTCTGTCTTCTCGTCGATCCACGCTTTCATGTCCGCCAACACGAGATCGGCGGCATCGTCGGGCTCGCCTTGTACCAACGAATGGTACATGCCGTCGTACAGCTTCAGCGACTTGTCCTCACTCGACGCCTTCTCGTACAACAGTTGCGACCCGGTCGGGCATGTAACACCGTCCGATGTACCGTGCAACGTTATGAAAGGGGTCGTAACCTTGTGGAAGTTGTTTTGTATGTAGTTGGTTACTCTCACCACTTCTCTCATCGTACCAACCCTTGGCTTTCCGGTGTACCGTTTTGGATTCACGACGATTATCTTCAGTTTTTCGGGATCTCTGATCGCTTTTCCGATCATCTTATTATCTGGCATTGCTGCCCATGTGTCCGCAAAGCCGAATAGTAGACCGTACATGGTCAAATGTAGCTACAATTAATGCAAAACAAAGTTAGATCGGTCGTCTAAATCGTCAACAATAAGTATAGAATAATTGGACACCCGACGAGTTGTTGTTCAGTCAATTGGTTTCGAGTGGATTCGAAGTTTTGAAGAGAGCAAACTAATCGAAATCCGAATAAGACATGTATTTGTGTTTCAACTTATAATAAGTTTTTTATGACACATTTAATACAAAACATCATACTAGCTATTTTATAGAATAATTTTGAGAAATATTATATAAAAAAAACATTTTATGGTAATCGATTGATGCTTCAACCGATTATTCGAATACTTAAATGTTTAAAATTTTACATCTTAAATACCAAAATTAAAATTTTAAAACTACCTAAAAATTTGATCCGAGTAGATTATAGTTTCGTATTATTTATTACCTTCGATGGTATCATGTTTTCGGGTATGACAAAAAGCGGGGCGGAAAAGATTAAACCCGTCCACGTGTCAGGTTCTGAATGAAAGTACACAAGCATGGTGATCATGCCGCCCATCGACTCCCCGAACAGAAACGCCGGAAGTTTACAGTACGTTTCACTCCGGCGAACACTGAGAAAATATAACAGCAACGTCTCAGCAACTTTATCCATATCACCGAGGTATCCATGGATTCCATCCGATCGACCATGGCCAAGTAGATCGGCGGCGAACACAGCGTATCCCCATTTAGCGTATTCAATACAGATCTTCTGAAAACACCAGCTGGAATCAGATCCATAACCGTGAGTCATGAATACAACCGCCTTAATCGGTTGATCTTCGTCAGCCGGCAGCCATGATTGAGTGAATAGTTTTCCGTTAGGTGTTTCGAAGTATGATTTGGAGTTACGAACGCCTTGCGATTTGTAGAATTCTTCTTCAGGTGTTTCTCCCCAATAGAAAGTTGGTGGTGGTGGTAGTGGAGGGAGGTTTGGCGGTGGCGGCATGGCGGATAACGACGACGGCGGTGGTGGTGGTCGGAGTTGTTTTATGTTTTGGATTACGGTGATCGGCGAGAGAGAGGCGGACGGATTTATGGAGGGAGATAGGGAATTAGGAAGGTGGAGGGGGTTGGTAAACCTACTACGCGGGTCTACCAACAACCAATGGGTATCGTGAATGGATGGATGACTTACTTTGGAGAATGATTCATGTGGGGTCCAGAGTAGTTGTTGAGCCATAGTGTTGGAGGGTGTTGACTTTGTGTCAAGGTAAAACCAGATAAAATGGAGGGAGCTGATCGAATGGGTGCACTGAATTATGATAGGCCGGCGCACCATTTAAGGGGATGGAATAAACGGCTTTTCCTTTATTTTTATTAAGACTTGTATTAATAAAACTATCTGTATTAATAAAGTTGTCTTTATGATAATTAGATAAGTTGTTGTTTGATGGTTGTGCTGAATAATAATCTGAATGTCTAAAATGACATTTTACTCCCAGTTTATATTTTAAACAATTTGGATACAATTAAATTTCACACATTTGATCTTGAATGTTGCATTTTATAGTAGACTACCAACAAGAAAAAACCAAAAAACATGTATGATAAACAAACACATAATAGACATGTACACTATCAACAAGGAAAATCATAAATCGAGACCATGGAGAAAAATCATAGGGAGAGATTGAAACCATTGGGGAGAAATGTAAATCGGTAAGCCGAAACCATGGAGAGAAATCATAAGTTTGAAGTAGAAATAGATTTACTGGTTTGAAGCAGAAATAGATTTACTGGTTTGAAGGGGCCGGCAGGCTGGGCATAGCATACGGAACCATCGAAGAAGTGCAGAAATCGATTTACCAGTAAATCGATATACACGGGTTTGAGCAGAAATTGATTTGAGGTTTGAAGCAGAATTCTATTTACTTGTAAATCGAAATAGACAAGTTTGAAGCAAAAATCAATTTGACGTTTGAAGCATAAATCAATTTGCTAGTAAATCATATACCTGTGATCATGGAGACGCAAAGGTTTGAAGCATAAATCGATTTGAGAGAGCCAATTATTGGGAAGAAGACGTTGGAAGCAGAAATCGATAGTCTTGAAGCGTGAGGGGCTGTAGCTAGAAGAGTGTCTTTTTTATTTATTGCAAAGGGTAGTTCAGGAATTTGATGGATGATGATATGGGAGTAAGGCTTTTGAGCTGAGCTAATAAGCTCTTAGTTGAGCTAATAAGCTCTTAGCTGAGCGAATAAGCTTCACCTGAACAACCTTTTATAGTTGAACGAATAAGCTATAAGGCTTGCGCAGTCCATTAAGCCACAAACGAACAACCCCTGATTGTATCTTTATATATTACTAAATGTTGTCTTGTTTATAAACTTTATCTTTGCATATGTCGATATCAAGACATACTTTTTACGTTCTCAATATATAAATTAATTTTTTTGACTTCAAAGGGGTGCAAATAGCATCACCCTTTAAGTGTCATTTTATATAGTTCTCGCCTACCAATCAACCACGAACGAAACCAATGGTGACCGGAAAATGCTGGTCTTAAAAACCCGACCAACCCAACGCGAAATAAGCAATATAGTTTCATATAAGACATAATCATGTCACGTAGGTTATGATCGTTCAACTTTAATCAAACTTTATGGCAAAGATTATTATAAATATTTGACATAATTACGTTCAATCTGTTAAATGATTAGTTATTTGTCCTTTTATTGTAAACTAATGGTTTGCGATTGTTATTTCAATAAATGGGATATACGTCAGAAGTCACAGTTTTGTCAAAAGTTTCAAAACAACGACCAAATTCAAAAACCCTCAAAAAGGGGTTCACCAACGGGAGCGTTTGGTTTGCATAATAGAATTTGATGGAATTAAAATCCATTGAAGATATCTGATTTTGAATGAATTGGAATGGACGCTCTAAAAAGAATTGGAACCTCCATAATAAACAGTTACACCATCACATACTTTCTCCATCTCTATATAACTTATTCGTATATATGTTTAATAAACGTGAACATATAAATGCAAATTGAGAAAAGTAGTTGAATATGATATAATTAAGAAATATGAATAAGTTGTACCAAATAATTGATGATGAAAAAAGAATTATGAGTAATGAAAAAACATATTCAAAGTAACAACCATAGAAGAATATTTTGGGTATGGTTGGGTTCACTTTGGTTTGGGTTGGGTTGAGATTTTTTAAACAATAAGCATTGAGTTGAGTTGAATTTTTTTAAACCGTAAGCATTAAGTTGGGTTGTTCAGATTCATTCAATCCAACTCATGAGCACCCCTAATTGAAAAATAAATAATGAGAATGGTAATGAAAAATATGGTCATATTTGATGTATAATATAATGGGTCCGTTACCTCAATCCCATTAATTTATAATATATAATTGTATTTGAACTTTTAATTATGTACGTGATTAATTTTGTTATTTACTAAATATGTACAGTTTCATATAAGGTATAATCATGTCACGTAGGTCATGTTCAAGTTTAATCAAACTTTATGGCTTATATTACTATAAATATTTGATATGATAACGTTTAATCTGTTAAATTACCAATTATTTTCCCTTTTGTTATAAAGTAATGTTTTAATATTGTTGTTTTAATCAGTGGAAAAATGACATCAGAAGTCACAATTATGTAGAGTTTCAAATCAACAACCAAATTCAAAAACCCTCAAAAAGGGGTTCACCAACCATTCGAATCATGTTTATTTAAGGTAGTTTTTGGTTTGCATAATAAAATTTGGCGAAATTGGAATCCATCGAAAGAACTGAAATGAAATTTGACCACACGTTTGGTTGACAAGAATCAAAATGGAATCTCTTAAAAAGATTGGAATATCCTTACTTGTTTGGGGGGAGGGTGGGGGCGGTAGTCATAGCGATGACAGTAATGACACGGTGACGGAGGTGGGGAGGGTGGTTGTGTGGAGGTGGCAACTGTGATGACGATAGTAGTGGGTGATGGTTGTGACGGTGATAGTGGTGTAGTGTGAAATTAGGGGTGGGGGTATGGACAGTGACAATAGTAGCATGGTCATGGTTGGGAGAAGAGGTGGTTAAAGTGAGAAACGTAAGAAATAATCTCCACCTTTGAATGTATATTAGGATGAGATGCACCAGATCAATCTTCGTATCAAGCACGATTCATGGAATCGCAAGTAGGTTTGAGATTAAAGATGATTAGGGATTCAGATCATTTCTTACGCTTTTTACCTTAAGTGCTCTTCTCATATAATCATCCGCCTTTAGATTTATGTAGAATGTAAAAATAACACAATATATTAATTAAAAACTAATTTATTTTTCAATTTTATTGACAAAATACTCTGTGTTTTTACTAAACCTACAATTTAATATGTATTTTCAAGTCGAGTTTCAATAAATTTTGAATTATTTTTGTTTTCATTTTTCATGATAATTATTTTTTTATTTTTTCTAATTATATTTTTAATATGTATTTTTAAGTAATTTTACATTGCCATACAACTTAGGCATAATCTAATGGATATCGCCAAAGGACGAATTACATGGAAAAAAACAACATACTTTAACTTAATTCTTGTTTTTGGTAATATACTTTCAAAACTTCTATTTTAATACGTAATATGTAAAGTTTTAAACATTTAAATACCCGGATAACCGGTTGAAGACTAATTTTAGATTAAAAAAATTAATGTCACTAACCACGTCAGCAAATAATACTGAGTTGGATACCACATCACTCGTCACATCAGCATTTAAGCTTTTAGGTATATTTTTTATTTTTTCTTCGAGTTGATATAAAATTCGGGGAAAATGAACAATATTGCACCAAATTTGGCGTGTTAAAGAAGAGTAAATTTATTGTGGTTTATTAATAATTTCAATTTTCATCCATTTGTCTTAGAAAATTGCGACTTTTGTTTATATGATTTGCAATTTATTACTGTTTTCGTCTCTGAACTAATCCTACTTTTACTTACAAGAGACCAAAACAGTAAAGGATTGTAAACCAAAAAGATCAAAATAATAATAAATTGTAAATTATAAGGACAAAATTAGCAATGAAACCATAAAGACTAAAACCGTAATTTTTAAACCACAAAAACAAAAATCGTAATTTTTAACAAACTACAGGGACCAAAAACGTAATTTACTCTAAAAAGGAAACAAAAGGTTGCAGTGGTTCACTGAAAAAAACACGAGAACCACAACAACAAAAGAGCTCCTCCGTCGAAATTTACCAACCAGACCTCGTCGTCTCTCTGTTTCAAACACAACACCAACCTTCCCCATTTTCTTCCAGATTTCAACCAAACCCTAGCCATGGTGGTTACACTCTTTTCCGTTTAAGGTACACCGAGAAAAGGAAACAGAGGAACGTTCATTTTCTTTCACCGGCGAGCGTCACATGGCTGATTCGCCGCCGTTTGTTCTGGCATCGCCTAGGGTTTTCACATTTTTGGTTCTTCAATCTCGTATCTCTCCTGGACCTACCTGAAACGCAGATAATCGGAATTGGAATAAATTTCATCAACCATGGCTGCCGGAAAGGGAGGGTTGTTTGAGAAGATACGGAGATTTATACGGACACTACATTTTTTGGTTGTTATGGTGGCGTCGTTATTGATTCTGTGGCTTCCGATTTTGGTCGCGATTGGTGATATATTGGTTCCTTGTGTTTTAATTTCGAGCTTTACGTGCGTTAAATGCTACAGTTTCAAGGAACATCTGCAGAGATACGATTTCAGAAGTTCATTGACCGACGTTCCGGTGGTTTCAGCCATCAGATCTCTCATAATCTCCGGTAATGCAAATTTAATTAATCGTGCATTTTTTTTTGAAACCATTGATATCGAAGATTGTATATATACCTGCATTATCTTTGTGTACGCTAATTTCATGCGCACAAGCATCAACACAGCAATGCTAATATTTGGCCATACATTGTGCATTATTTTCTCCCCAATTTGAACTCCAAGCTACTATAGAAGTGTTTTCGGATTTAGTTGGAAGAGCTTTATTAAATTAGAATGTAAATTATGTTATTGTATGAATATAGTTTTGTTCAATATTTGTGCTGTTGGCAATATTTATTGAAGTTGATGTGATCTTGTATGTATAGTACCCTTACCCCTAGGCAATGCTATTCGTTGGGACTTGGTGCCTCATGAACCATTAGGTCTCATGTTTGAATCCCATGAGCCACTGGTTAGGGGATATGCCTGCAGATGAAAAACCTAAAGTTCGCATCGTGTGGATCTGTTGGACCAAAGGCGCAAGATACCATGATAATATAAAAAAAAGCTCCTTTGCTAGATAAGTATAAAACAGGAAACTTGGTGAAACTGATGCCTGGATGGTGTTTTTACATCGTTGTTTCATTATGTTTTTGTTCATGGATTGATGTATGTGGTTACCGATTGGGATTATCACTCCAAATGAATGCACTTCTTTGCAAGTAGAAGATGCATCCATAAGATAGATAGCAATCTATATGAAAACACATAAGATAGGGGAATAAGAAAATGAAATATAGCACTGACAAAGCCATTGATTATTCATCAATGCGCACGTCTTAACTTTGGATTTTGTTTCCATTTGATCTAGATAAAAGTTATAATGTTGGACTTCGCTAGTCTATGTGTGCACTGTGATATATATATATATACCATTGATTAAAAAGTGGCTTTTGGACCTTCATCAAGTGATATCGAAATTTCCTTTGTGATTGCAGGTGTTTATCTGATGTATGATAGTCCTGTGCTCTCACATGGGCAATATCTTGGAACAGTCACTTTGTGCTCCATTTTTTCAATTCTCGTTTTATCAGTTAAAGCATGTGTTTTCACTGTAAATTCCCAGCTTGAGGCTGAAGCTTCATCTTCTCTTTCAACACAAAGGCTTCATCTGAAGAAGTCATGGGGGATGCATGTGCTGTTCCTTTCATCTGTGGTTTTTGCTCTTGGGCATACTGTTATTGCTTATAGAACAAGTTGCAGAGCACGGAGGAAGCTTATGTTTAACCGAATTAATCCTGAATCAGTACGTGTAATATTAATAAGGAAATGAAGTGGTTCCTGCTACTTCATATACATATATGCATCTATGCTACTGTGGCATATGAAGTTAGTATAATGAATTATAGTGTCTTTTTAGGGAATTGAAATCTGTTGATTCTAAAATCTCAATTGCATAATAGATAATTTTGTTTGCAAGCCTTAAACCCTGTGAAGGAAAAAACTATATACATCTGGTGGTTATGAACTTATGATCATAAAGTACTGATGAAAATGTGTCTTCTACTTTCCAAAATATGCTTTAGTGCGTGTTGTATGCAATCTTAACTATCTTTTTTTCCATTTTCTTACTATGCACCAGGTTTTTTTGAACCAAATTCTATCTTCAATTGGCTACGCTAAAGTCCCGCGATCTCCGACTCCTACTTCTGACCGGGCACAGAAAAGTGATGATGAAATTAGACGAAAACCTTTGCGCCTAGGTCACAATCATGGGGAACTTCCTGTTAGATTACTAACCGATGTCGACAGTTTATTCATGCCCTGGCATGGTCTCACCATTCACTACAAACTTACCATGCCGAGTCCACCTTCTCGTACGCTATCCTCTACAACCCTTCTCGAGAATCCATCTTTAAGCGATATACCAAAGACCCAACATCATCTTCGTAGGAGCTTTAGCATTCAAATTCAAGACTCATCTCTCTACGCTCCATTACTGGATGGCAACAGTTCTCCTATATTTTCTGAAGAAATGCCGGTTTTTAGTATAGATGAAGGAACTAACGAGTATCCGACGAGTAAAGTAGTTTCTCCGTCACCCCAAGTTTCTGAAGTAAATGGACGGTTTGGGATTGTTTTAGTGCATGGTTTTGGAGGGGGAGTCTTCTCATGGAGGCATATAATGGCTGTGCTGTCTCGACAGGTTAATTGTATTGTTGCTGCTTTCGATCGTCCTGGTTGGGGATTGACGTCCAGACCAAGGCGAGAGGAGTGGGAAGCAAATAAACTGCCGAATCCTTACATGCTTGATACCCAGGTATTGTTTCCATATCCTTGACAATTAGTTGTGGCTGATAAACTAGTCATGTTTGGTAAAAACTAGCTGATAAGGTAGAGGATGATGATGTAAAATGACCTAAAATGTCATGTCGAGAAATTAGTTGGAAAAATATAAGGGGCGTAATTGGAAAACAGTGGGAAAAAGACCCATGGAGGTTATTAAGACGCTACTTGAAGTAGTGTTTAAAAAAGCTAGCTTATGGCTAACCAAATGGGGTTTTTCCAATAAACTGAAAAAATAAACTAGCTTATAATTACCAAACATTCCCTAAGGTGGCATTTGGTTCGCAGATCTGGAGGAATTTGATAGAATTGGAATATTGAATTCCTTTGACCAAATTTTGTACCCTCATTTGGTTCATTCCTTTTTAGGGAAGGAATATTCAAAATCCAGTGAGTCCACAAATAAGGGATTTGAACATTCCTTGACAATAAGGTGGTATTTTGATGGAATGGAATGTTATAATTTCTTTTTCTTATACTTGGATTGTGTTTTTTATATTGTTTTACATATTAAATAATTATTTTATTCAAGTATTTTTAGTTACAAAAAAATCCAAATTTTTCAAAAAAAAAAATGATATTTTGGTCATTTACCAACATTTCATTCCAATTCCAAAGCAGAACAAAACAGACATATTCCAATTTCATTAACAAATTCCATTCCAATGTCTGCCAACAAAAGAGGTGGTCAAATATGATAACGTTTATTCCATTCCAATTCCTTGAAAGTCAAATTATTCCATTAAAAAACGTTATGCCAACCAAACGCCACTTAAGTGTTTATCTATTGTATTTAGAACCATTTTATGGCAAATATTGTTTCATATTTCTGGCTTTTTACAAAATTGAAGCTCTAGGCATTTTCACCAATGTTAATGTACCAGCATAGCTAGTTTCACTTCTATTGTATCTTCTGTCCTTTACATCTCCTTTTTAACAATAATTTCCAGGTTGACATGCTTATTTCTTTCTGTAAAGAGATGGGACTTTCTTCTGTGGTGCTTGTTGGTCATGATGATGGAGGCCTGCTTGCATTAAAGGCCGCACGAAGAGTCCTCTCATCACCAAACGCTGTCGATGTAAGTTAAGTTGTATTTGTGCATGATAATAAGCATCATCTTGTTTTTCCTTTTCTGAAACTCATTAAGCAGATCTTTCTGAATGTTATGTCAATATTTGTCAGTAATCCATCGATTCTGACAAAGGTTTCTGAAACTATTCCTCTATTATGTAACAACTCGTCCCACATGGTGACATGGATAAAAAATGGGCTTTGTGAGCTCCTTATAAGCCTCAAGTTGTGGGCTACCAATAATTTCCACAATGGTTTTAAGTTGAATCTAAAGTTATTCGGTCAATCTGTTGGGCTTGGGGCGTTACATCTTACAATATAGAATAATATTTTTTTAAGAATATTATATTATTAAATACTGCAAAACCCACACACACTCCTCACCTTTGGTAGGCTTGAGCCTTAACCATCAGGGAGGTTGAGCTCTGCCAATAACCCGGATAATGCTGGGCCAACCTTACATATTTGTCCAGATTAACCGGGACTGGGATCATGTAAAACCAAGTAAATTGTGTTTCCTAGTTCACTTAAGCACACAAATCAAGCTATAAGTTACAGATTAGTGAAAATAAGATCTGTTTTTCAGGTTGAAATTAAAGGGGTAGTATTGCTCACAGTAAGCTTGTCAAGAGAAGTGGTTCCTGGGTTGGCTAGAATACTCATGCGTACCTCTCTCGGAAAGAAGCACTTGGTTCATTCTCTACTCCGAACAGAAATTTGTCAAGTTGTTAATCGCAGGGCATGGTACGACGCTACCAAGCTAACAACGGATGTGTTAAGCCTCTACAAGGTACACAGAGACTTGCAATTGCTCTAAGGATGCATTTGGTATCCAGACATGACTGCATAATTGTTCAACATTTGGTAAGACAGAACTGAACATGACAGAACGAATAAAATAACCAATTTACCCCTAATGAGTTGTTTATATATTTTAATTAATTCATACAATTAATTAAGTTATAAAAAAATAGTTTTTATAACAAAATATATCATTAGAAAGTTTTCGTCAAGACAATTAAAATGACACCAAAATAAAAAGTTTATGTAGTTTCCGATTTTTATTTTATACTTTTTCTATATTATTAATATTTAATAAATTACATAAATTAATCAAAATATAGAAAACGTATAAAAATAATATTTTTAGGACAGGAAAGTGAAAGTTGAACATAAAATACAATAGATAAAATTTAAAAAATGAACAAAATGTAAAGAGGGAGACGTATTTGACGTTATAGAAGAAAATGAGGTTCTATTTTGAGATTATATTGGTAAAATATAGATTTGTTCCACCTTGTTGTATGGGGTGGGGGTGAAACACACTTGTTCCACTCTATTCTTGCCAAATCTAGAACAGTGATCTATGTTTTGTTTTGTTATATCTTGTCCAGTGTACCAAACGCACCCTAAATGCACCAAACCCAGGCTTTTGGTTTGAAAATAGGCCCGACCGGGCTAGCTAGGAGCGGGCTCTTTGTGCAACTCTCACTTATGGGCAGTTGGGAATTCAAATTACTGTGTTTGTACCGTGTAGGCACCTCTATGCGTAGAAGGTTGGGATGATGCGTTATATGAGATTGGTAAATTATCGTCTGATACGGTTCTTTCGGAACAGAATGCATCCTTATTGGTGCAAGAAGTGGAAGACACCCCAGTTATGGTTATTGCAGGAGCTGAAGATGCCCTTGTTCCTCTAAAATCTGTTCAAAACATGGCATCCAAATTTGTAAATTCTGTGAGTATATTTTATCCCTTTTTCCTGTTTCCCTTCTCGTTTTATGCCATAATTTAAGGGGTTGTTTGGTTCAGCCTTGGTAATGGAACCGGGAATGAAAATGACAGGGAATAAAAATGAGATCGAATTTTCATTCCTCCCGGTTTAACTTGGAATGAGAATTTTCATTGTAATTTAGCATATCCGTCTTTCTCAAAATTCGAGGATATTCGTTTTTCCTCCTTTCACACACTTTTCACCAGCTAGGGGTCATGGAAACATCTACTCAACTCTTGAGGGTAGATGTCGGGTCTACGTACATCTTAACCCCCCAGACCCACCTACATCGGGTGGGATGTACTAGACTCGTTTGGTTTGATTTGGTTTAGGGCAACCATTGAAATTTTAAAGGGGCCTAAACAAATAGGATTTCTACATTGGAAGACTATAGGATGATTCTGATATTGATTGTGGATTTTAATAAACAGCCATCATGGTAACCTAATTTTCTTTGCTATAAACACAATACTTTAAAAACCTCTTTTTCACATTTTCTTGGTCAGATCATTGCCAACTCAACAAATTAAGAACCATCATAAAACACTATGCTAATAAGATCCTCCTCTTGTGGGCCCTATATATTATTTCAACATCAATACTATATATATATAGGCTCAAGGTAAGAACACAGATTCTCGTACAAGAACCCAAAGGATGTAGGTGAATTACAAGAATTCTTTCCAATGATAGTTCTTATAAGAACCTACTTTTTGTACTCTTCATTGCCACAGCACTTTTAACTCATCAAATTAAGAACTTACATAAAAGTCTACATTCCACAATGGTATTTTTTATAAGAATCTCTTTTGTGTTTTTTCAACATCAGTAATTATTATATCTTTATACATGTTAATAATTATACATAAGAAACTAATAAAAACTCAAAAAAAATCGAGGTTTTTATAAGAACTTTCTCCAATGGTGGTTCTTATAAAAACCTGTTATTGGAGATGCTTTAATAAATGGTTCCATTTCTGACCAAAAGTGTGAATTTATGCAGACACTAGTTGCAATATCTGGTTGTGGGCATTTGCCTCATGAGGAGTGTCCCAAGGTATTGCTTGCAGCAATGCTACCCTTCATCAGCAAACTGTTAAAGTAAGGCAGATTCATGAAATTTTGTAGGGGTTTTGATTTTTTAGGGGCTGGTATATTGTGTGTGTGGGTTTCCTCTTTCTTATCCAACTCAATTCACCTAATGAGAAAGAAGAGACCTAACCTCTCTCTCTCTCACTCTCTCTCTCTCTCTGTCTTGTTATTTATTGTAAGCTAGTTTAAACTCATGCCCTGATTCACAAGTTTCAGAGGCGTTAGGGCAGGTTTATTCATATGTGATTAATGGTATATAAGCCTATTCAACAGAAGATAACATGTGTGCTTTCTTTTTCCTCCAAAGCTAATTTACAGACAAGTTGATTTGTTTACAGATTTAGGACCGAAGGACTTCATTTTACTTCTCGACCACACGGATTACTGAATCCCTGTCTGTGGTGCTCTTTTCAGACACCTTTGAGACCCAGGTCAAACATTCTCCTCTAGTTATAATTTCCGGTGTTGATGTACAAATCACGGATGTGAAATTACTCTCTAAGTGAGCTATTGAGTCGAACACTTCTTAACATGACGAAAGCTAGATGGGCACCATTGTCCCAAATTGTTGAGAAGGAGTAGATGAGTACAGATCACCACAAATGCAAACCCTATAATGATATTGATAGACCATAACTCTGATACCATGAGAGAATATATGGAATCCGTTGAGATTATCCTTTAACGGAAACTAAACTAGCACAACTATCTCAAATTGTCAAGAAGCGGTTAGACGAGTACAATGCACCCCAAAAAGAAAAAACCCCCTAAAATGGCGGACCATATCCCTGATACCACATGAGAATATATAAAATTCCATGAAATTATCATTTAACATAAGCTAAACAAGCACAATTGTCCCAAATTGTTGAGGACACTAAAATGGTAGACTATAACTCTCAATTCCATGTGAAATTGTCCTTTAACAAAAGCACTAGACCGGCACAATTGTCCCAAATTGTTGAAAAGGGGGTTAGATGAGTAGAGATTACTCCATAGTACAAATCATTATGCTATTTTAGAAATTTTAGAGATTTAGGAAATTTTGCTCAAAACAGCTATGTTAAACTCTCCTCTAAAATAGAGAAAGAAGACAAGGAGAATGAAAAAAATCTCCAAATTTGTAAAAAATGGAAAAATATAGCATAATATAGCATAAGTGTTGGAGATGCTCCCATACCATGTGGGAATTCATAAAACCCCATCAAATTACTCTTAAAATTCAAGAAATGTGGATCCAAACATCTATTAAGAAGAAACGATCACCAGCTAAATGCAATTTCAGATTTTGAACACACGACAATACACAAACTGAAACATTCATGAACCTTTTCTACAAACAATAAAACTCCAAAAATGAACCACAATCTTAAAACCACATCAAATTCACTAGTGCTTGTGATACATTCTTCTTGAAATTTTGAGGGTAAAAAACAAGTAAAAACACCCTTCTACTCTTTAGAAGATTTGTTGATAAGAGACTTGTGAATGTGAGGAATAACACCACCACCAGCAATAGTACCTTTTATGAGAGTATCCAATTCTTCATCACCTCTAATAGCAAGTTGTAAATGCCTTGGAGTTATACGTTTTACCTTCAAATCTTTGCTTGCATTTCCGGCCAATTCAAGCACTTCTGCTGTCAAATACTCCAATATAGCTGCTGTGTATACTGCAGCAGTTGCTCCAACTCTTCCACTAGCAGAAACCCTCGTTTTCAAAAGACGGTGAACTCGACCAACTGGAAACTGCATAGATTGCATCAATGGACTGAGAACTCAAAAACATCACAAACAAACACAAATTTCATTTCTAAGCCACTAATCTATATGCAACAAAACACTACTGGTTTCAAAATATGAAACTAATGTTAAAAGAAACTATGAATGCTATAAAAAAAGTGTGTGATGTGAAAAACTTATGCAGAGAATTATTCTTCCATGCAAAAAGTACGATTATGTTTGAATTTTGGCGAAAACAATTGTTATTCGAAAGAAGTACGCAATAAGTGGAATTAATTCGGTTTTGGGAGAAAATTTGTGGCGGAAACTGAGAGAATCGAATTTCGTATCAAAAGAGTATGGATAAAGGAGTAGATCTAACAGATTCTGCACCTACTGGTTACAATTGATGTTCTTCAATCAGCTCATCTAGTGAACTAATCGATAAAAACATACACGTATAGAGAAAGAGACCTGGAGATTGATGTTCTTCAATCAGTTCTTCTACTGAATTAATCGATAGAAACATACACGTATAGAGAGAGAAATCTGGAGATTGATGTTCTTCAATCAGTTCTTTTAGTGAACTAATCGATAAAAACATATGCGTGTAAAGACAGAAACCTGGAGTATGATGTTCTTCAATCAGTTATTCTAGTGAATTTTAATCGATAGAAACATATACGTATAGAGAGAGAAACCTGGAGATTGATGTTCTTCAATCAGTCCATCTAGTGAACTAATCGATAGAAACATATACGTATAGGGAGAGAGAAACCTGGAGACCGGCGCGAGATGAGCGAGAGATGGATTTCTTCTTGTCTTTATCTTTGTTGTTTGATCCATTTAAAGCAGAGGAAGATGCTTTCCCCATTATCAGACCTTTTGCTCCCTTTCCCGACATTTTCACAGAAAACTCCGGTTAGGTTTCCGACCGCCGGATTCCGGTGACGATTTGACAAATATTGAGCAGAAGAGAAGCGATTAAGATATTTTTGTGTGTAGGGAGAATGGATAAAGAGGGAGGGTCTCGAAGAGTCGGAAAACGTCGATCCGGCTGCTGCTTATATTTCTATTTATTACAGTTTCCCTCTTGCTATTTGCAGCCAAATAAAGAGTAAATTACACTTTTGGTCCCTTTGGTAGATCATGAATTAATGAATTATTGAATTATGGATTAAGGAGTTGTTTGTTTACTTTTTAATAGTTTCATCAAGAGGTGAATTTTGTTTGGCAATTTTTTTTTGTTCATTCTAAAATCATCTGAATGATTTTGTATCATGAGCCTCTATTACCTATTCAACGTTCTAATTTCATCGTAAACAATTATATTTTATTTTGCACTATATCATGAAAGTCTCTTTAATCATTCTGACCACTTAATTATTATGCACTATATCATGAGAGCCTCTTAATCATTCTGCACCAACCATTCATCAACTGTCAAACAGTCCTTAAGGGTGTTTAATTAGTTTAATAGACTGACAACTTATTCGTTGAGTTATTCAATATAGGTCTCAAAGGGGAAGTTTTATGAAGAAAGTTAGATTATTATCAAACCTGTCATCCTCAATTAAAATTCATGTTCCTTCCATATATAAAAAAACTCTTTCAAACAAAAAGAAAATTCAAATTATACAGACGAATTAGTCCACATAGACATTTGTATTCATGCAAGACTTAATGAAAAACCAACCAAATAGTCCTTTTTAGTTTCTATTTATTACAGAGAAAACGCTTAGGTGGCGTTTGGTTCGTAAAATGTTTTTCGATGCAATGCTGGTATTATGAGACGAGATGAGGGTATATTGGGAATTACGAAAATAACAAATTTCATTCCATTAAAATTCCATATATTTATCAAGGAACGTTAAAATCATCTATCCATGGAATTCATAGGAATCTGGAGATTCCTTCCGTTGAAAAGAATGAACCAAACAAAATAAATGATTTTGATCAAAGGAATTCAACATTCCAATTCCTCCAGAATCTGCGAACCAAACGTCACCTTAATGGTATGCATTTTGTTTGAATTTGACCCATATGATGTGACGTGTAAAATAAACCTCTTTAATTTTCTCTCTTTATCTCTCTCCCCTTCACTTCCAACCACGACCCCTACCACCACCATCGGGCACCACCTACAACCACGAACCACGTCAAGAAAAATAAACCCTAAAACAAAACATTGTTCTATATTTTGTTCTTGGTGGCGCTATGATTTGTTCGTTTTTCGATCCTTGTAAAACCTAAACAAACAAGAAAACACCCCATTAGAAATCAACTTTGGTGTCTCGTTACTATTGATTTATGGAATTTCATATGTTTCAACTCCTGACAATATAATGAAATCGGTTGTTCTTGCTGCATATATTACGACTTCAGATAGTTTGGAAATCAATTCGTAAATAAGGGGATCTACAGGCGCAACCATTTCCTTGTGGTTTATATATCTAAATTGAATCATACAAAATGGAGTTATCCGTTTGACATAAATGGATTAACCGTTTGAAGTTCTTGAAGAAAAATGGATATGTGCTATATAGATACTGTATACAAGCCTGACTATTGGACAAGCATAGGAGGAGAGGCGTATAAATGGGCAAATGACATAAATGTCCTTCCGTGTGACTACTATGTGAATGACTTTAACTACTTTTCATGGATGACATGTGCGTTAGGGACCAAACCTGTAAAGATTTGCAAACCATCTTGACCATCATTCGACCAATGTAATAAAGCAAACCATATGGACAAAATCCGTAATTTATGATAAACTAGTGTTCTAAACTGTAATTTACTCAATATACTTTACAAATTTTCTTCTTGTTATTGTTTTGAAATTATGTTAATCGGTCTTAGGGGTTGTTTGTTTATCTCTTACTAGTTTCATTAAGAGGCATACTCTGAATCGTTAAGAGGTGAATCGTTAAGAGGTGAATTTTGTTTGACAAAAAAAAAAAAAATCCGTCTCTTAATCGTTCTAAAACCCTCTAAATGATTTTGTATCATGAACCTCCCTTAACCATTCAGCGCCATAATTCCATTGTAAGCAACTACCGAACAATTATATTTCATTTTGCACCATATCATGAGAGCCTCTTAATCATTCTGACCATTAAACCATTCAGCCCCTTACAAATTATTGATGACAAGATAAACGAATATGACAAATTATGATTTTACTTTTCAATCAAATGATGTATTAGGCAAGTTGTTTTGCATGACATTCAACCCCTCTCTTATTTTAGCGAATATTTGAATTTCATTTGTTGAAACCTTGAAAATAAAAATACCGATATAGATTGAAAAACGTTTAAGATCTATTGGGATACATCTTATATGATTGTCTAATTATTATAGTTTTAAAACGTAATAAATCCATAAGTTGATTACCAGCAACTCCAACCAACCCCATACGAACCCTGCATCCAATGACATCAATGTATAGAGATATTTTTTGGCTCACTCAACGACTAAGGCTAACACCTAACAGAAGGTTTGTGATCGAACTCGAGATCTGTCTTATATTTGGGCATACTCCACCCGCCCCAAAAAACCAACTTATTGGGTATGATCAATGATAGAGAATATCAAAATAGGGGGTGATTTTGTAAACAAATGAAAGAAGAAGGAGTCTATTAGATAATTCAAAAAGTAGATGGGGTTAATTGAGAATACCCCAAAACATCAAGGACCATCATCAAGAAAGAAATCCCGAAGTCTGGACACTATAAAGGCAAGCAGCATCTCAATGGCAGCCTCGCGCCTAGCCCTATATACGCATTATTTTAAAAAAAAAATATTTTTCTTTGGTTTTAATTCACATAAATTAGTTTGATCTGTTCTTCATTGATGCTGTTGGGGTTAGGAGGTGTGGATTCATCGTACAGAATCGATCACAAGTTCAAAAAATTAGGTTTCCCACCTGTGTTGATTGCCGCCATTTCTACGTATTAATATAAACTATTTCTGTAAGATTTTGTTAATCATTACGAAGATCAGACATTTTGTTCAGGAAATTGTGTGTTTTTTTGGGTATTAGTTGTCGATTTCGAGGTTTTTATTAGTGTTTGATTTCAGAATTAGGATCAGGGATTGTGATTTAGGTTTGAAACTGGAAAGATCAGATATTAGGGTTTTGTGTATGTGTAATTTGGGTGTTTTTAAGAGATATAATGGATAAGAAGAAAGTGGCAGTTCCGCTTGTATGCCATGGTCATTCTCGTCCGGTGGTGGATTTGTTTTACAGTCCCATTACTCCAGATGGGTTTTTCCTTATCAGTGCCAGCAAAGGTATGCTGTATCTCTCTCTCTCTCTTTCTATACACACACACACACACACACACATATATATATATATATATATAGATTATGTGTTATGTTTGGTGTTATGAATTGATGATCATTATAATATTGGTTATATTTGCATTTGATTACTTCTGTTATATATGTTGTTATGTCCTGTAAGGATTACCCTAGAATGGAGTGGTAAGAAGAGGAGCAAATGTGGCAAAGAGCAACTGCATTCATGATGTTTAATAAGGGCAACTGCTGACCAATAATATTATTTTTTTTCAAAACCAAATCGACTGCCCACCGCATTTTGTAGTTGATAACTAAGGTTATTACAAAGGAATGAACCATCGTTTGTGCATGAATGAACTTGTTAAAGACGTGTGAGGACATAAAAGTTCAACAAATCAAGAAGGAACAGTTCTATTTGGTTTTGTGACCTAATCGTGTGACTTTCGTAGAAAGAAAACACACAAAGTGCAAATGCATATTGTTTATGAACTTCTTATATGTTGGTCCATCCAATTAATATATATTTCTATAAGATGTGAATGCATATTCAAGCACAAGAGTAGGTTGACCAGCACCAATTATAGGCATTAGGGGTGTAAACGACACGAGACAACTCGTGAGCTATTTGTGATCGACTTGGTCAAAACTCGGTCAACACTCGATTGAAATAGGCTCCGCTCAAACTCGAACTCAATTCAACATACTAACGAGTCAAGTCGAGCTACTCAATATTTGACTCGATAAGCTCGTGAGATACTCGATTTTTATAATATAATTAGTTATAATATAATATGTATAATATAATGTAATAAAAGTGTCTTATATTTTTAGATATTTGAACAATATTGTGCATTTTTAATTATAAAAACTATATCAATAATTTTTTATATTAAAATCATAATTAAAAAAGACAAAAAACTATAGAAGTGTTGGTGAAGTTGTCCCGCATTGGAAGAGACATAGTAAAAGAAGGACTTAGAGTTGCTATAAAAAGAGAAGGAGGTGATTGAAGTTTGTAACTTTGTCTTTTTGATGATGAAGTTTGAGGTGCATCCCTTTAGTTTTTTAAAATTTAAGGGAACAACTTTAAGTTTTATAATTTATAAGAGAAGATCCTAAAATTCCATAAATTTCGATGAGTGAGCTTGATTTGAGTTCGAGTTCGAGTTCGAGCTCGAGTTTGAGTTTAAAAAATTGCAATCGAGTTCGAGTTTAGTCTTCAACTACTTGCGAGTTTCGAGTCGAGTTCGAGCTTGAGAAATGGCTATCGAGTTCGAGTCGAGTATATTGATACTCGAACTCGACTCACATCATTTACACCCCCTAATAGGCATTGGCCTCTTTGCTCATATTAATACTGCATGTTTGTAAATATGATAAAATGATAAGATGCATATCCTACCATTCTCTTCCATAGTGCAAGTTTATAACGGGGAATATTGATATTAACTTCTGCTCTCTATTATTGTTGTTGAAACTTTTTAAGTATGATTATAATATCTATGTAAAGATTTATCAATGGTGTATGATGGTGGTTAGGAGGCTAATATAAGCAAGAAGGATATACAACAATTTAGGAAGGATTGTACCGAGAATTGAGGAATAATATTACGGGACAACATCGTTGTGCTAAAAGAAGAGTTTGTCTCTTTCTTACTTTTAGAATAATAGAGTTGTGCCTTGGTTGTTTAAAAAAAGCTCTTATCAGCATCTTATGTCGGATCCGGTAAGAGGTAGGGCCATTCGGACTGTTTGTTTTTTTAAATTTTTAGAGGCACTTATGTCTTACCGTCCTCTTATCTGGTAAGAGGTAAACAAACCCCTTATTTGCCTCTTATTGTTCTCCAGACCCTCAACAATGAGCGTTTCTCAATCAATCCTCTCCCAATCGGTTAACCTTAATTTATTTAAAATTGTATAAATGTATACAAATTCAACATCATAATATTTTGAAGGGTAAAACTTATAGAGATTCAGACATCTACCTGTTTACGAAAACAAACAGTCTTATTGATTATGTTTTCATACTTTAGCACCATCTTTTATCAATCAAAAGTGAAATCAGACTTCAGAGTTCAACATCTCTTAAAAAAACAAACAACACTTTAAGTGGCTAATATGCTCTTATTTCAACTATCAACTGTTTTCTTTTGTTCTTGTATTCAAGTGTAGTTTTGTGTTTGGCACCTCAATTGAGATGCCTGTTCAGAGTCTCACACACTGACTCATATTCATTTAGGTGGTTTAACATTTTCATTATGTGGTTCATATTAGGATAATGTGAGTGGATACTTATATGATGTGAAGATGGATCTCATTTTGTTGATATTTAGTGAAATTAGAGATAGTACCACAACATGAAGAATGAACATTTCTTTGCCCCCAGTGCCCCTTAATTTCAAGGAATTAGAAACTTCAAAAGGATAAGAAGATGGTAGAAGGGAGTAGCATTCTGTTTACTCACTTTAAATTGAGTATCCATTTCCCTCCTTTTGCTGCTATTGACTATAAGTATAACCATTTTGTGGGCTTAGAAGCCAATGCTATATTTGGAGATGGTCAAGCAAATCTTCTGCTTGAATATGCATAAAAATCCTATAGAAATATATATTAATTGGAGGAACCAACAAAAGTAATGAGAAGTTTTTGAACAATATGCATTTGCATTTTGTGCATTTTTTTCCTATGGAAGTCAAATGACTAGGTCGCGGAGGAGAACTGTTAAACTGCTTGATTTATCGAACTTTTGTGTCCTCACGGAAGAAAATTCCATACCGGCTAAAAGGTCTTACCAAGTTCATGCACAAAAGATGATTTATTTCTTTGTGATAACCGTAGTCATCAAATATAAGGTTTGGGGATGGATTTGGTTTTGAAAAGCATAATATCGTTGGTGGGCAGTTGGCCATATTGAACATCATGAAAGGAGTTGCCCTTTGCTGGATTTGCTGCAACATGCAGTATACGGCTCATTTCTTTTTTAAGCTAATTATTATTCAAAAGAAATGCATTTTAAAAACGTCGGAGAAAATACTGGTTGAATTTGAATTGGTCATGTAGGTCGATGTTACATCGACCTTCAACATTTTGCTGACAAAATATTGGTTCATGGATTAATATCGTAGTGAGTGGGAGTGTGTTGAGCATCATTTTTTTTTGAATTTAACTTGATAAAATAGGTTTTTAAATTTGAAGCTTGAAAGCAAATCCATTCTAAGTTAACTAAACAATAATATATTTATTTTTTCAGATTCCACCCCTATGCTTAGAAATGGAGAGACCGGGGATTGGATTGGAACCTTCGAGGGGCATAAAGGTGCCGTGTGGAGTTGCTGTCTCGATACTAATGCTCTACGTGCTGCATCTGCATCCGCTGATTTCACTGCGTATGTAATGAAGCATTTTTTTTATATTATTTATGCTTGGTGAAGTTGTTTGCTGTATTCTCGAATTTGGAGAGGAAAAGAAATGGATGGAAAAGAAGAGGGAGAAGAAAAGAAAGGAAAATAGTTCTTTTATTTGTGTTCTCCAAAGGGAAGGGAAGGGAAGGTAAGGAAAGGAAAAAAAAGAAAATTTGTCATGTTGTTGACAAGAGAGAAAGGAAAGGAAAGGAAAGATGTCAATTTTACAAATATACCCTTTCAAAAATATATCCTTTATGATGAAAGGTTGGGTAGTTTCGTAATTTTAATAATTTTTATAGGGTTTTAATTTATTTTCTTTCCTTCCATTTCCTCCCACATTTGAAAGGGAAGTTTTGGGAGGAAATTTATCATTATTTTCCCTCCATTTCCTTCCTCTCCTAAATATGTTTCGAGAACACGAGCTTTTTTTTACTTTCTTCCCCTTCCCTCCCTTTTCTTTCCTTCGTAAAAAAGGTTTCAAGAACAGAGCGTTCGGGTGCGTTTGGCATGTGAGACAGGAGAAACATGACAGCTGTTGTCCCATGTTTGGTGTGACATTAGACTGGGACATGGCAAGACTCAAGTGGACAAAAATGCATTTTTTATTTATTTTCTGTCCCACTAAAATAGGTGGAATAAAAGTCAGGGAAATAGGACAATATTGATAAATTACTAAACTACTCATGTCAAATAAAAATCCTAAAACCTTTCACAATTCTTTTACCCGCCTACGTTATACCCGTCTAGTCCTGTCCAGTTTCTTTTGCGTACCAAAGTACCCTTAATGGTCGTGTGATTAGACAATATTTTCCATTCTGCACCTGTTGATGGTCTATGTTAAACTCATTGCATGGCGTTTAATTTTATGTTGATAGATGGTACACTATAAAAAGATTAGTTGTGGTCCTGTTACGGAAAATGGAATAGTCACGCTCTTTAGATAAAATTATAACGTCATTTATAATTCATCTTTTTGTTTGCAGGAAATTGTGGGATGCATTAACCGGGGATGAACTACACTCATTTGACCACAAACATATAGTTCGGGCATGTGCTTTTTCTGAGGTAATTTTAATCTTTTTGCATGTTGTCACTTGCACATGAGTGATCATTTTTTAAAAGAGAGTTTGTACCAAACAAAACCAGCCAACATGTGTACCAATTAAATTGGTACCAATTTACAGTGGGTTGGTCGTACTGTGCCAAGTATGCAAACTTGGTTGGTAGTACCGTACAAATATGCAGACTCTGTTGGTAGACAGTATTGGAAGTGATGTACCATGGTAGTACCATTGTACAAACTTATGTAATTATCAATTACTTGTTGTGTTTTTTGATGTATTGAGCATTAAACATTATAACTTGGAACTTTTTTTGTACGAGCATCTGAATGTTTGTAAGCCATGTTCTTTGCAATTAAAACCCTTAAACATGGCATTTGTTGCTTGCAAACTCAAAATGTAACTCAAATTTTGAAAATAGAAAGTGTCAAGTTTTCATATATGCAAGTTGAAATTGGTACAAAACCAGTACCAACATGTGTCAACCCAAAAAAGTTAGTACAAAATACTGTTGGTTGGTACATGGTATAAGATTTTACGAACGAATAATAATTGGTTTGTACACAGCATTCGGGAAATAATACTTGATACCATACCAATTCAGTTCCTAGTTTGTACTGCCACTTGACCATTCTTTTCAAGTGGCTTGTATTTATTTATCAAAAATAGAGATTTTGTGAATGCATGACTTGTGAAAGAAGATTTAACCTTGAGTCACTTTAGGGCCCATGGGGTTAGTCGGGGCTCAAGCTTGCATGGACACCCACGGTCACCAAAAAACCTGCAAATTCTAGAGAAGAATCACTTTCTTGTACATTGCTTGTATATATATATATATATATATATATATATATATATATATATATGTATGTATGTATGTCGTGGTCATCATGAATAATGTAAGCAACAAATTTTGTTTAAATATACAGGATACACATCTTCTACTCACGGGTGGTTTTGAGAAGATACTTCGCATATTTGATTTAAATCGACCTGATGCGCCTCCGAGGGAAGTTGTGAACTCTCCGGGTTCGGTGAGGAGTGTTTTATGGCTTCACAGCGATCAAACTATATTGAGTTCCTGCTCTGATTCTGGTGGAGTAAGGTATGCAATGAAAAGAAAAATAAGATTTAGGGGCCGTATCACGTATGCTAAACGCTTACCCAGTAAGCACTTACCGGGTCATTTACCTTATCGGATGGACATGGCAAGGGACGAGAATCTTACCCGGTAAGAGCGATGAGAAGGATGGAGAGTCTTACATGGTAAGTGAGGGTGTCGACTCTTACCCGGTAAGAACTTACCGGGTAAATTGTTGCATATGATACCATTTTGTTGAACTACAATCTTACCCGGTAAAGCTAGACCGTTGACTAGGTCTTACTGTTAGGTGTTTACCGGGGTAAGCGTTTGGGTAAACGGCCCCTTATTCTCTTGTTGCTGTGTTCATTTTTTCTCAAATCTTATGAAATTGAAATTAAATTTAGGATACAGCAAAATCGGTTTTATCAGATGCCAAGTATGTCTAGATGTTCTAATAGACTATTTTATAGGGACTTAAGTTTATAGGACCAAACAATTGTGCATCCTATGTAAAAAGTGTTGCAATAATTTGATAGTAACAAGTTTTCTAGGACACGTTTGAAATAGAACGTCCTATTAGAGCCGTTTCCCAAATGTTTACCAACTAGAGAAATTACCTTTACTTTCTTATTATGCAACATTCCCGGCCATCAAAATGGCTTGTTTGTAAGCGTCTTAAACCCGGTAAGCACTTACCGGGTAAGAGTCTTTCCCCTCACTTATCGTGTAAGACTCTCGGTCCTTGTTATGCCCCTTATGGGTAAAGATTCATGGTCCTTGTCATGCTCAAGCAGTAAGATAAGTGATTTGGTAAGTGCTTTTGCGGTAAGCGTTTAGTAAACGGCCCCTTTAGTCTTTTTATATGACATTATTTGAAAAAGTGTTGTATAAAAACAGCCGTCTTATAAAAAGATATGTTCAAATGACACTTCTTAAAAGTGTCCTAAAAAATTAGTTAGGATGCCCCAAAAGCGTCCTATCAGTCTATTAGGACATGTAGACACATTCTGCTATCAGTCTATAAAGAAAGCAGTTGGACCTCTTGAAACAAAGCTAGTTAACATGTCAAGCTATAGATAATTTTATGTTCTCGGTTTGCCATGATTTACCGTAAAAAGAATTAGGCAAAAAATTGGCTGCAATAATGTAAACTTTGTTCTAGAAACAACAAGATGGACTTCAAGACGAAATGAAAAATCTTACGGGAAAATTTCTGAATCAACTGCTCCTCGAAAATTGCTGGTATTACCACTTAACGGAAGTGCACTTTGTGGTCGATCCATCTGAAATGATCTAATCGCAGGCTCTGGGATGTGAGAAGTGGCAAGATTGTCCATACACTCGAAACAAAATCATCGGTAACAAGTGCTGAAGTTAGCAAGGACGGTCGTTATATCACCACTGCGGATGGATCAAGTGTGAAGTTCTGGGATGCAAATCAGTAAGTTTGAAATCAATGGTTATCGTATGCATGATTTGCGATATATGTTTCACGAGTTTTGTGTCGGTTTTTCTTTTTTAGTTTTGGATTGGTGAAGAGTTACGATATGCCCTGCACTGTGGAATCAGCGTCGTTGGAACCGAATTTCGGTAATAAGTTCATTGCTGGAGGAGAGGACATGTGGATTCGTCTTTTTGATTTTAATACTGGTGAAGAGATCGGTAAGTAGCGTGGATATATGTGTCGTTAATTTTTTGAAGCACCATTATAGTAAATGTTGTGGTCCAAATTGGCTAGAGTTGGAACCTTTCTTATCAGTAGGGGTGTAAACTAGTCGAGTCGAGTAGTAGGTCATTCGAGCTCGAATAACTTTTCAATGTAGGGATCAAGCTTGAGCTCGAGTATTCTTTTAGTTATCGAGCTCGATGCTCATTTATGGGCTCGAACTCACAATCGTTAACTCGTTTATTGGCTTGAGGTTGATAATTTTTATATTTTTATTGTTTGATTTATGCACATATTAGAAAGTTCGTCTCGAAAAAATGTATGCTCGAATGGCTCTATATATGTTGGAACTTGGAACCGTTCTCTTCTCAAGGGCTGTTTTTGAGAGTAATTTAATGGGGTTCCACACATTCTCACGTGGTATCAAAACAAAGATTTACCAATTTAGGGACTCAAAACTCGGTGAAATTTGTACATGTTTATCCCCTCCTGATACTTGGGGACTATCTATGCCCGTCGAGCCTATGTTGGCGGGGGCGTGTTGAGTTTCACATCGGCTAGACTTCAGAGTAATCTAAGGGGTTTCACACATTCTCACATGGTATTAGAGCCGAGATATACCATTTTAGGAATGCAGACACTAGGGGCAATTTGAACCTCCCCCCCCCCCCCCCCCCAAACAGACACTTTGGGACAATTTGTGTTGGAGCCTGGAGAGGGGGTGTTGGAGTCCTACATCGACTGGACTTGGACCCTTTCTTCTCCATACGTGTTCTTCCCAGCCCTGCCCCTAGACATTTGGTCTTCTGAAACCAACAGGCCCCTGGTCCGGCTGGCCCTTTAAATGGCTTTTTTGGGGAGTAATCTAAGGGGTTTTTTTTGATGATTTGTGTTTGCAGGATGCAACAAGGGTCACCACGGTCCAGTCCATTGTGTGCGGTTCTCACCGGGAGGTGAGTCATATGCATCTGGCTCAGAAGATGGAACCGTGAGAATATGGCAGACATTGACCGGACCCTCGAGTCAAAAGGGCAACACCGTCTTAGGGGCAAATGGTCCAACCAAGCAGCCATCAGCAGTTGAAGTTGGTTCGAAGATGGAAGATTTACATATTGGCAGCAAAGATGGGATCAGGGAGTGAGTAAGGTTGCAGGTTATCAACGAGTAATATATGTTCCTTTTTGAAATATCCTTCTTGAAAAACAAATTTGATATTTATGCCTTTTTTTATTGTGATTTTATACATGAAAATAGGGGTATGTGTTGAAAACCGGACCATGGTTACACGAATGAATGAATTATGACGTTCTTTATGGGTCTCGGATGGTAGACCAATAGTAACTTTCCATCATGGTTTTAAGTTGGATCTAGTGTCTTCCGAGGATGACAACCCTAAGATTATGTTTGCCCTTCTATTCGATCTTGATGATCGGCGGGTTCTTGTTCCCACAATGGTAGGCATGGGGAATGGGCCCCGACCCGTCGGGGAACCCAATCCACTTGGTCGGGGACGGGGATCTCCGTTTGTTTCAAACCGGGGATGGGGATCGCATTCCTTGCCTCGTCCCGTATTTATATATATTAGTTAATATTATATATATACACACACACTCATATATATATATATATATATATATAAATATATAATTTCAACTATTGGTAATTTATAATTTCTTACTTTCTATTTCTTAACTAGGTTTAGATCTAAAATTGTTTATTTTATATTATAATGTAATATTTGGGATGTCCAAGTCAAGATAGAATTACTCGATATGCTCAAATGGTCTGGTTGGCTTGACTTGACTTGACTCAAAAAATTTAATTAAGTTTGCGATCGTGCCAAGGCGAGTTGAACATTGTTGTTATGGAGTTTGACTCGCTAAGTTAAAGGAGTTTTAGTGTATGTGTGTGTTTGAGATCATAATTATTAAGTTCGAGTAGCTCGTTAAAGGCTCGAATTGTTAACACTCTTATTCATGTCAAATTAAAAACATTCTAGAATTCTTTCACTCATCTATCTTAGGGGTTGTTATGACGATTTTGCATTAAGTTATGTATAGATAAAATTGTGTACGTGGATTAAGCTGTCTATATAGATTGTAAATGTTTTTTTAGGAGAGGTTTTTCATAAACGGAAGGAGCATGTTTTTTTGATAGGGAGTGGTCGATTTGGGTTTTTTTTTTTTTTTTTTTGCCTTTTTTGCATAAAACTCCTAGAAGCTTACTAAATAAGTCATCTTTTATATCAAATAGCCACTATCAAAAGTTTGTATTTTTATGGTTATGCACAACATTTTTCGGTTGTTATCCGAAGGGCATTTTAAAGCTTTTTTCCATTGGATTTTTGGGTGAGATCCTCCATTTTCTCCCTATATAAAGAGCCTTTGAGTTTCATTCAAGAGAATACATATTTTAGCTTAATTCTCTCTAAGTTTTATTTAAAGTTTTAGTCATTAACATTTAATTTTTTTGTATTAATTTTCTTTTGTTGTAATTCATACCCACTATCTCACCACTGAGGTAACATTTTCTAGTTTTATTTTAGTGAAAGTATTGCTCAAGTATTTCTTTCTTCTATATTCTCTATTTTTATTATAATCTAAGCACCTCTTTGGGTATGAGTGTGAGCCAAATCTAAGACCATGTTGTCATTTTTACCAACTCTTACACTTGGTCACTTGAGTCGGGATTTTTACTCAACGCGGAAAAAACGATCACTAGTAAGTGTTAATATTAGATATTTGATCCAGAGATTAACGGTTCCAGAAATACGGCTTTGGTGATGTAAGAAGATTTGAGAAAGTCTATTATGACCCGCTAGAGATACTGGGTTTTGCATGATTTTAACTAAGGTTCAAATGTCGGTCAATATTGATGTTACAAAGAGACTTGTGCATTTATTTCCATACTGGTAGAGCTACGATACCTAGAGGTCGACTTAGTTAAATCGACAAGTCTTGAATTGGCAAAACCGGTGACTTTGTGGGTACTCTCTATTTAAATTCACCTTCGAGAGATCGGATTTTTATAGCCATTTTTGTGACACTTGTTTCTGACTATGATAAACAAATATGATTTCATACTACCAACTGCTAACAAACACAAACACGAACACATCCCAACATCACCCATTCAGTTCCTTTCACATACCCGAATTCTTATTGGTCCAATTTATTGAATTAAGGTTGGGATATTAAACAAACCTTAGACCATGGTCACCTAACAACCTCTTATAGTGTTGTATTATCCACCCAATAAAATTGGAAGATAAGCCATTGGCTAGAACCCTATGAGGTCTCCAATCAACCAAAAAAATGTACCATAATTCGCAATTTAGGGTTTGGACCACAATGTGTCAACCCCAAATCTTGAATAAGATTGGTTGGCCACTTAGAGTTGTACTTTGTTCCCACTTGGTTTGTTACATAATATGATCCATCACAACTTTTGCTACACTTTCTTGTATTTTTGTTAAATTTGGATTCAGATTTTGGAAATCATCCAACGTTCATATCCGTCACATGTGTGGTGGGATGAGACATGGCCACGTTACGTTTAGCCGTTTTTTACAATCCAACGTCGACTTTGCTAAGAGAATCGTGTTGGATGAATGCTGATACCTGAATTCAAAGACCTCAGCCTTAACAGGGATGTGTTTGCATTCTTGTTTTTCTTGGTATTTGTTTGTAAATACTGTTTTTTTTTGTTTGAACATTTGACACGTTAAATAAAAATACATTAACCTGAATTTCAGTAGATTATAATGGTCTTAAGAAAACTTTTTCCCATCTATACAAAAACCAAACAAAATTTAGGGGTCGTTTACCAAATGCTTACATGGGTAAGTGCTTACCAGCAAAATTCAACACTATCACCTACTTATTGGGTAAGATTTTAGTCCAAAACAATATCATATGCAACAAGTTACCCGGCAAGCACTAACCATGGTAAGAGCTGTCGTCCTCACTTACCAGGTAAAACTCTTGATCCTTGCATTTGCTTTTACCGAGTAAGATTCTTGGTCTTTGCCATATTCATCCGATAAGGTAATGTGACTTGGTAAACACTTAATCGGGAAAGTGTTTGATAAACGACCCCCCTTAGTACATCTCATCTAGAGGTGGGTTTTGGGAGTATGGTATACGAAGATATGACATTTTTGCTTTTAAAAAGTAAAACGACTTTTTCTGTGAATACCAAAAATAAACTCGAATCTTTTCGAGTCGATTTGGTCAATCAGATGACAATTGTCTTTATTGTCTTCTTTAAATTGAATGAACAAATTGGTATCAACGGAGACAGTTTATCTCCAAAGGTTTTAAGATAAATTAGACCAGTGGCTACCACTGATTATTAAATCAGATCGATATTTGACGACCATTAATTGAATTATTTTTAAATTTTATTAGTTCATACTCAACCTCTCTCTACCACATATAGCTTCTTTTTTCATTATACCTTTTATTTTTTACATAATGTCTTATATATTTATTTTTAAATAATTTTATATTATCATCTAAAATTGTTAACCTAATTATCATCAAATACTATGAACTAATTTGCCGAACATAAACTAAGGTCCGTTTGTCCAAATGCTTATTGGTATTATATGAATATTAAGTAATAATAGCATGGCACTTTGAATTCGATATAAGAAATCGTGGGTTTTCATGCAGATATGACCACGGTGCACACCCCCCTTAACTTAACCCCTATTACGTAGAGAGGACCTTCGGTGGGATAAAAGAGAGTGCGGGTGGCAGCTATTTCCCTCTCCAAATTTAAAAAAATATCACTAGATCCGTAAGTGGCACCTCCTCAATTTGTGGAGGGATCAAAGTGTACAAATTTTTTTTTTGAAGACAAAATCTGTAACTTAGATAAACATCTGCAAGTGACATCTTTGTCACTTACGGGACTGATTTACAGATTTACTTCAAAAACTTTTTTTTACACTTTGATCCCTCTGTAAATTAAGGTGGTGCCACTTACGAACCTAATGACATTTTAAAAAAAAAGGACAAATAGATAAACCCAAAATTCAAAAATGGATATTTCAATTAATTTTTATTTATTTATTTATTATATTACATGTCTTTTCAAAATCAATTTCAATTCTTTGAAATTAAGAAAGCAAAATCAAAGTAATATTGGTTTCCATTTTTCAATATTCAACAAAGAACCTTAAACATTTACACATCAAGTGGTCACAAGCATTCCATGACCAAAAAAAGTAACATCAAACAACTTTTTGTTGTTTAATGATTACATTGCAAAAAGTAGACTACAATTTGGTCCATCTGGTTTACATATAAAGCTGTAAATAATTTCTCTGAATTTTAACAAATACAGTAATAATCGCTACAGTTTGCATTTTGTTATGAAAGTGGTCGCTGATGTTAACTGTGTTACAAAATATCTTAAGTTTGAGGTGTTTTAATCTTTTTACGTCTTTTTTTGTCATATACTTTTCGGTGTGAAATCGGTTAATGCTTCTCTAATCTCACCCATCATCCCCTGCAAAGTTTGGTGCCCCTTTTCGGTCATCTGCTTGGACACACCAAATTCCGTAACCCAACCAAAAACTATGAACGTATGCATCAAATCTGTGTAAATTTAATAGAAAATTTCAAACTAAAACCTCGTTTATAAGAACCACATGGTTAGAAACCCTAAGAATTGTATATTTTTCATCGAGGAGGTGTTCATCGTCCCTGGAATTGTCACTTCAAGAAACATGAATCTGGTAGCATCTGTACAAAAGCAAACCATCGTTTACAGTTTAAAACCCAGATTTGAAACTCAATGGAGAAGTGATGTAAATTTAGAACGCCGAAAATAAATAGTGTGCGGGCAGGAGAAGGAAAATATGTGTTGTGTTGTAAGCAACGAGATGAATGGAGATTGGCCACCATTTTTTGTGTTAGTGATGGTGGTGTTGGGAACGGAAAGGGGAGAGGGTCAGGGCCAACAAGAATTTAGACGGCAGCAGGGTTACACCGATGAAGGTTCTTTGTGCATATAGAAATTGTATATCTTAAAATACTATGATATGACATGTTTTTGTTTTTTTTAAAGAAAATTCAAAAAGATTATGTTAAAAGACGAATATGCCATTCACTTAATCACGGTTTAATTAACAGTGTTAGTGTCGGGGACTACTCTCATAAAAAAACGTAGTAAAAATTGTGATTATTGCTCTTATTAGGGTTTTAGTGACAATGTTTTGATGTTCATGGCTTTGAATAAAATACAAGGACCAAAATTGTAGTTTAGTCTACTGTAAAAGATGATAAAAGTATACTTTTCAGCTATATTTTTTGTAGATCTCGTAAACTCAAATCTGATCAGTAACACCTTTATAAATAC